CTCAGAGTACTACTAACAAGCCCCAAACGCGGCGGTCCCTCAAGTACCCTGGCAAAATCTATGTGAAGACGAGGCTATCTGCCTCAAGTGCTCCTCCACAATCCCTGATGGTGACTGTAGTTGTAGGTGTCTCTATAGTTGCCTTGTCAACACTCCTCTTGACGTCCTCACAGATTCTTGAAGTAAAAGACACACGTCACAAAATTCGCCCTTAGCAACCCCTTCTGCAAGATCAGCTTCGGATTCTGCGGCGAAGGCTTGTGCACAATTGAGAACCAGGTTGCCAAGTCGTCGGCTTCTAAGGCTTCTAACCCAGAGGGTCCATGCACGCTACTATTATAGAATTTTAGGTCCCGAAAGACCATCCCCATTATGGTTCTGGGGACCTAATGCCATAACAGTAGTCTAGACGGACCCTCTGGCTCATGTAAATGTAAGCTCGGATAACACCGACACCTTATGCGTGAAACAGAAATCCTACCCCAAACCGCCAGTCAACTCCTAAACCGAAGATGCCTAGGTGTTCCTAAACCTTAAGCCCTGAAACTTATAAACACCAGACGTTCTAAACCCCAAAACCCATTGCACACCCTCACCCTAACACCCTCCTAGTTGAGAACTCTCAACCCTAAACCCTCTGCCTATACACAAGCCCCAAACCCTAAACCCTGATCCCTATACACCCGAATCCCACTTATACCTTTTAAACCCCTCATTAAACCCTGTGAACCCCACATCAACTAAAAACATCTATAAACCCTAAAGCCTCAACCTTATTCATGGTTTTATAGCAGTTCCTCTTTGGGGCTCATATTTAAAATCCGATAAGGTAATCCCAGAAAGGAACTACTATGGGTCCTATGGGTATAGGCCCTAAAGCCACTTATACCTGGGTAGTTGTCAAAATTAGGGTCCCTGTTTGGGCATCCTAAATATTAGGTGCCGTATTAGAGGACTCAAGGGACCCCAATTTTGACAACCATTCACCGTTTAAACCCTAAACCCACACCTTCCGGAGCCCCTCTGCGGTGACAGCCGCCAGCCCTTTGGGCTCGCAGACCTTGCGGGAAACCCGGAGCTGAATATACCCTTAGGCTCCATAGTAGTTCCTTTTTGGGATTACCTTATAGGATTCTAAATATTAACCCAAAAAGGAACTACTATGGAGCCTCTAGGTAAGGGCATAGCCCATCAAAAATAAAATAATGAAGATAGGGATCTCTCATATATTTGGATTCTGTTGGCATAAGTTATGTTATGTAAAGTGAGGGCCGAAGTCATGAAAATTGGGTTCTTATGATGGGGTGCTTGTTACAAAGGGGTTTTTTAAAGGGATACAAGGGCACATAGGGGCCACAATGCATGGGGTGCAAAGCTTCAGGGTTACTTTTAGGGCTTCAGGGTGCAGGGGTTCAAAGTTCAAGTCTTTTAGAGGCTTCGGAGTTTTCCGAGTCTAACGGAGTTCAGCGGTTAGGCTTTGGAGGTTAGGGCGCTTAAAGGGGTAGATGTTGATGTTTTGAGCGGCTGGAGGGTTGGATTATGTCGGCTTCGGGATTTCCAGTTCAAGCTTCAGGTTTGATTTAGGATGCCCAGTAACCTAGGAATAGAAAGGGCCCCCTTTCTGGTATTGGGGAACTTTATAGGGAACCTAGGACTACAAACGGGAATAAGGGTACTACTGGGCATCGTAGTGATGATTGTTGGCACATTCCCGGCTTTTACAGGCGCAAGAACCGATTGCTTAGCATGCCCAAAAAGCAAGACAAACTCATAGATCCAAAACACAAAGTACTTTGCTTTCAACACCCCAACAAAGCCGTCCAAAAACGGCCTGGGCATGACGTTTTCGGGCAGCCCAAAGCCTAAACTTTATGAGCAATGAACTAGGATGTCCAGTAACCTAGGAATATAAAGGTCTCCCTTTCTGGTATTGGGTAACTTCAGGACTACAAAAAGGGAATAACGGGTACTCCTGGGCATCCTATGTAGATACACAGTAAAGCCTGAATCCCCAACCCAAACATCCCTACCTCCCAAAACCCTGTATAGCCCTAAGCCGCGAATCCTGCAAGCCCTACCCAGGGGCCCAAAGTAGTTCATATATAGACTCCTATAAGGTAATCCCAACAATTAACTATTGTGGGGCCTCTGGGTAGAGCCCAAACCCTGAACCCCCAAATCGTAAACCCTGCAAAAAACCATGCGAAATGGTAGGATCCAGGGCAGACTGGCACTTGTCTTGCTAGCTTAAGTAGCAGGTTAGGAGCACTGGATCTGTGTTCAAGATCGAATTTTCTTCCCGTTCGAAAGCACCGGGGGTTTCGGTTTCCTTTGAAGTCCTTGAGTTTGGGATGTATTTGTAACGCATAGGGGTCACGATCTGGGTGAAAGGACTAAGGATAGCACGGACTCCCTCTTAAGCACCAAGGTGTAACGTGCCTCGCGCAGAGACGCTAGCCGACAGTGTGTCGGTCCGGCTCGAATTTGGCCCTGTCAGAAGCTTCCACTTTGATCATGGGCATGTGGCTGTTTCAGAACATCCTGCTCCTCTTTGGGATTGGTAACAAGCTAGATGCTGCTCCCCTGCCCATCTGCCACTTTTAACCAATACCCTTCTGCTTTGTTCCCAGGCTACGGAAAGGGAGGAATCTGCTGTGCTTATGGTTGGCAACTGCGATGACTATTCGGAGTATCATGAAGTCGTAGCGCCGTCCAACGATTCTTACTGTATGCTCCTGCTCATTCGATCCTTTTGTCGTGAATGCTTCCGGCGTTTACGGGTCTCCAAAATGGACCCATCTAGGGACCTGTGAAAGGCCTTCAGGGACCCAAACAGAGGCTTCTAAACCCTGTATTCCGACGGCCCGTACTTATCAAGCTCACTGTTCCCTTGCAACACAAGGCGGCAAGGCCCGCAGATGATGTAGCAACCCGAAAAGAAGGACCTCATGCGGAGGCGAAGGGACTGCGAGGATCCCAGGGGCCAGTGGGGTTGACCGTCTGTTAATGGAGGTTGTCGTTCTGGAAAAAAACTTTGCCCATAAAACCGTATGTATACCAGATCTCGCATAGTCTAGCAGAGTTGGGATGGCGCCGGAGTGTGTCTGCCAGTGGTATGAAAAAGCACCGCGACACGCGCTCCCTTCCGGTATTACACTGACCAAGTGCCCCTAACAGTTGAGGGAAGTGCTGTATGCATGCAGACACATACACACATACACAAGTTGCATATTCATGCTTGCACGTACAACATGTACGTATGTCTCCGTCCGTCTCGGCGAAGGTAGGCCTTTATGTGTTTAGCTATGTCTGCATGCACGATTGTTTATACGTAGGTCGGAACGTATGTGTGACCATGTGTGAACACACATAAACATAAAATACCTCTCTCTCATAGATGAAATGTCACACAGGTGTGCACATGGCTCCCGCGAAGCAGGCTCTATGAGAACTGCTGTGATTTACTTGGAAGGCATCACACATGTGTTGGCCGTCGTGTTTGTAAAGGCTTCTTCCGAAAACGGTTCAAAGACTCAACCCTAAGCCCTGCCTAAGCCCTTAACCCTTGTCACTTTCCTTCGAACTCTTCCTGTGCCCCTCGCTCTTCGTAAAATGTGGAGACACGTCGATCAACCAACCCTCGCACTGAATGCCGGCTTACGAGTGCTTAAACGTTGGTAAGTGGAGTTTCCCAAGAAATGGGACCCTTTAAAAGGTTCCTTAACGGGATCTGCAAGGGTTCTATTTAGGGTTTATAAGGGTTTAGGTTTCCCAAATATGGGGTTTTTAAAGGGTTCCCTAACTGGATCTACAAGGGTTTTATAAAGGGTCTAGCCTATACAGTGTAGGGTTTAGGGTTTAGAGTTTCCGAAATATGGGACCCTGATATAGTACTAGTAGGACCTTCGTGATAAGGAGCCCAGAATAAGGTACCTCAAAGTTTCGGAAACTCCCAACTAAGTTGATGCTGGCGATCGAAACAACAGTCTGCCGACATCCCTCGAGCCGGACAAATTAACATTGGAGCCTGAATAACTAGAATAAGGTTTTGCGGGGTTCCTTAATTCTAGTGCAAGTACCCCCAAACCCTATTCTAACTATTAAGGACAGGAGCGTATTTTATAATCTGTGCAGCCGAACCATGCAGTACGAAGTAGACCCGGAAACCCGAAACCCTCATTGCGGGTCGAGGCTTTCATAGCTAAAGTCCGGAGAGAATCTGCTCGTGGCAACAAAGGCCCACGCCCCCCAGGGTGCGAACTTGCTGTGCAGGACGGCTTCTGTGCCTTAGCGTCTGCCCTCGAGATTCCCTAGAAGAGCAGATTTCGAGTTAAACGACCAGGAACCCGAAACCCTCGACACAAATCTCGCTCGGAAGTAAACCCGATTCGCTACAGTAAGCCTGCACCACAACTCCAGCAATAAACCTTCCGCAAGGGTTCCCACTAAGCGCGAAGTTTCCAAAGTTACCAGGCTGCCCAAAGTCTGTCGAAGCTCGTCCCAAACCTCGCGAGAGTGTCTGTCTCGCGGAGTCTCGCAAAAGGAAGTACGAAGCATCACGGAATGCCGGGCATCTTCAACCCTGCAAGGAGCAACCCTCCGTTTCCGAAGCCCTACAGCTCGATCACTCAACACCCTTAAATGCCTAAATCGCAACACCTTTACGCCGCGTAAGCCCTCCGCCCTAGGTCCCAACTCCATAGGCTAAGTCTTCGAACTACGCAACACCTGCCAGCCCAACACTATGAAACTGTTGTAAACGGCGTTCCTAAAAAAACTCCCAGCCCTCAATCCTTCGATGCAAAAAACCTACGACCCGAAACAAAATAACACCGCGTACAGGGCGGGGAACTGACACGGTTCATTGGCATTACAACTTATCTGTTGCTGCCCCGAACAACAGACCGCCGAGATGACTCAACCAGTGTTGCCCTTTCCGGACTCCTAAGATTCCCGAGGCCTGTCGCACAGCGATGCAGGAGGCCTCTGACAGTGTGTGATCATGGGAGACAGTTTGCAATCTTCAAGCAGCACTTGGCCTGGGAACTTGCACCCAAACGGATTCTGCGCAGGGGTTGAGGGTTGAGAAGCCGCGCTGGCCTCGTCAGCTCCGTCTGAAAACTTCATTGAGAGGCTGATGAGTTGGGCCACCTGGCGCCCCACACACACAAATGAGATTTTCCGAGCTTGACTTCTGAACAATTACAAACAGCACGACCCTTGTCATAAGGTAGCCGGGGTAAACCCGAGATCCTGCTTTCGGAAACGTTCCCAGATCTTGAACGGCCGAGCGCCCGACAGTTGAAGCGACATGGCAACGGGAATGGCCTGGCATTAAGTGGCTATAGGGTTTGGCAAGGATTAGAGGTTCTGAGGTCAAAAGCAAGGTTGCAGCGCCTGCCGGAAACTGCTGCAAGTTGGACAAAATGCCGCACAGCTATTATCTTCGCTGTACTACTGACCATCATCTTCATCATCATCGCCATCACCATATCGTTGTGCACTATGTTGTGCAATCAAGCAAACATGCTGTAAATACCATTGTCGCGGGTATGCACGCACGAGGCATCACACAAAGCGAGAGAAACGCTGTACATGGTGGTAACACCGGTGGTAAATTTGGGCATGCTCATGCTCGCTCATGGAATCAGCGGCCATGTCTTTAAAGGCAAGAAAACCTACTGGAAGGAAAGTAGCAAAACGCCTTATGGGGCCGATACCTACTATAAGGATTCGAATATAAGGGTAAGTTGCTAGGCTAAGGTTACTATAAAGCTCCGTTATCTTCTGGGTCATGACACTATGGTCGGGGCTTTTCCCGAATCTTCAACATATTAAATATGCTTCCCACAACTCCATGCACATACCCCAAACCTTAAACCTAAATCGAAAACCCTGGGCGGCAGTCTAGAAATCCCGGCTTCTTGCATCAGGACTTGTTGTGCTATAGATCCTGAAAACCCCCAAACCCTGAATCCCACAAAAAACACCCTAGAACCTAAACCCCGTGCGTTCGGCCCACCTGTGGACTCAGCGGCAGCTGATTGCAACAGCCTCCTCTGCATGTTAGACACCAAAATCAAAGGTAGGGTTTCTCTCGGGTTTGTGTTTAAGCTTTGTCCATGTACTGAAAATCGTTTACATGGTTTGCAGTTAGCTAACAATGTCTTTGATAGAAATAACAAAATGCCGACGCAAGCTGGGGCAAGCTCCTATTTTCAGGCACTTCTGGAGTACACAATGGGCAGCGATATCATGCTACCAGTTGCCACAGCATGCAGCAGGTAACCTGTCCACCAGTCCACCAGTATATCGATCTAGCATCCATCACAAACCAAATCCGACAATGCTTCAACCATAATCCGGCACAAGTCCGGCACGCCGCGCAGCGTAAGGCACAGTGCCATTCTGCGTAGTGTTTCGCACCGCAACCCATTCTAGCTTTTCGGGTTTAGTGGTGCGCAATATATCGTGAAAGAGCTTGCCTGCAAACCACACGGCACAGCACACACACACACACACCCACACCCACACCCACAGCCACACCCACAGCCACAGCCACACCCACAGCCACACCCACAGCCACACCCACACCCACCCACACCCACCCACACCCACACACACCCACACACACCCACACACACCCACACACACCCACACACACCCACACACACCCACACACACCCACACACACCCACACACACCCACACACACCCACACACACCCACACACACCCACCCACACGCACCCACACGCACCCACACGCACCCACACGCACCCACACGCACACGCACCCACACGCACCCACACGCACCCACACGCGCGCACACCCACGCACACACACGCACACACACGCACACACACGCACACACACACACACGCACCCACGCACGCACACACACACACACACACACACACACACACACACGCGCGCGCACACACACGCACACACACGCACCCACACACGCACCCACACACGCACCCACAGACGCACCCACAGACGCACCCACAGACGCACCCACACACGCACCCACACACACACACACCCACACACACACACACACGCACACACACACACGCACACACACGCACACACACGCACACACACACGCACACACACGCACACACACGCACGCACACCACACACACACACAAACACACACTCGAATCCAACCTCGTTCATGTGGCGTCTGTCTCCGAAAGTGGGGTTGCATTGTTTGTACCAGTGCCGGGCAAAGCAAAACCGCACTCCCACCAGAAACTGACTCCTGGTCATCATGATGGTTCCACGCTTCGCCTCAGTAAAGCACCAAACTTGCGACACCTCATCAAAAGTTGACGCAAGCCGCCTCCACAAACGCGGCTGCCACCAACGTCCGTGCAAGTGCCGTGAGACTTGGGGCCTGCGACAATACGTAGAAAGAAGCTTTAAACATGCTGACAAGCATTTGATGGCTTCTCCAAGCTTCTCCGAAATGGCGTTGATGTCTAGAGGTCTTCTTATTTCAATACCTGATACCTGGAATTGTACACCGCTTTTGCGGTATGTCCTCCCTAGTCGTGGCCTGCATTGGTAAGACAGGTCCTCACATGACAACAAATCGACCAAGCGAATTCCCACCTGTGCCCAAACGAGATGGCATGGGCGTTCTTGCAGCCATATCCTCTGCACGCAGCGTCTTTGCACTTGGATTTTATTGTCACACGGTGATACACGGTGTGCATTGCTTTTGTTTGCCGGAGGCGTGCTAACCTGCATGGATGACCACAACCTCGAAGCTACTACAATGTCGCTGCCATCTACGCGTGCTAAACTTGGCAGCTTTGCATTCCCTCTTTCGCCACTGCGACAAACTGAGTGCCCTGGCTGCTCTTCGTTCTCGCTGGACCATGCGTACCTTGCCCATGCCCAGCTCACAGCTGTTGGTCACCCTCTCTTTTTTAACCAATCAAGCACGCGGCCTCCACGACACTTGGCCTGCTGGAAAAGCGGGTTGGTCCTGCGATTGCCACACAAACTCACGGTGAATACAACATGACAGGGCACCGTGCCTGCAAAAACAGGCGGTATATCCCACGCCAATTGCTGCTGCCAACCTTGACAGCATCAGCAAGATGCATCACGCGCTCTTCTTGAGCCATTGCTATGGTATGTCACACCACAAACGAGCCTCTGCAGCATCTGGAAGAATGGGCGCGGATGCATATGCTGCAACAAGGCACTGTTGCACGACAGTTGCGTGAAGAAAATAATCCTCGGAGCCACAATTCGCAAGGCCAATTGTCGCTTATTCAAGGAGCTGTTAACTGAGTGTCCGGCAATGCTAACCTCAAGATGTGGAGCATGACGTGCAAGCCTGTCGCCCATTTGTTGCAAAAACCTGCCAGGGTGCAACCTAACTGACCATCCCTGAAAAACCGACGTCCTTCACCCTGCACAAGGATATGCACAGGCATGCGCCACATGTTGCTCACTCCAAGTACACGGGCCCCTCTCGGGGCAGGGGGGTGCATGGTGGTCCACTAGTTTGCGGCTCTGGGAGTGTGGAGGTTGGGGGAACGTTGGATTGTGCGCATTTTGCGTAAATACAATCCCGAAGTAAGGAATCTGGTTATCCTGTCTTATCCTCATGATTTGAATGGGTGGATCACCCTACGGCACGTGTGGTCCCTGACACACGAATCCCACAATCGCATCCCTGCATCTACTGCACTCCCCCTAAATTTCCGACTTAATATACATGGCAATCCCCACGGAGAAATACATAGGCTGTTATTGAATTCAACACCAAAGCGACCACCTCTTCGAGAAGGCTACCAAAGTCAAATCAGTGAATTAATTACCCGTTGAATTGTAGACGAAGAAAAGGGCATGTCAAACCACGGTGTGCCAACAGCGCCGAGCTGGCAATATGCATGCGATTTGATTGAAATTATTTGCGGTGTTTTATCTAGCCCCTAGAAGAATCTTGAAAATGGGCCTGGCCACAATGGCCTCTGCAGCAACCATGCCCACTTGGCACCGTCTCCTTGGTGGCAAGAGCCAACTGTTGCACGTTGGGGCCCGACGAAACATTTTTTTACGAAGCAATCCAAGATATGAACTATGAACCGAATTTTCAATTTCAGCTGTCTTCCTGCAAAAATTGTGTGCCACGAATGCCAAGAAGCTGAGATAACTGGATGTATGCCACCGATTTGTGCAACGGCAGAACCATGCCAGATGCCCACCATTTTGGAGCAATCGTTTCCGGCGTGTCCCCATTGGATACCTGGGCACACTCTGGGCACCCAGCGACGCCCCAACGACCGGAACACCATCAACACCTGCAATACCGCCATGCAACAAATAGGGACAAAATGCTAAATCCAACATGCCCCGAGTATGGTAGCGGACCATGTCGTCGCACAGAGTCACCTGACCATGTGAACATGCTTGCAAGCCGGGGCCAACTTGATCAAGCTGCATGCAAATGCACGAACCTTTCCCTCAAAATGTTTCGGAATGCCGAATATTATCTGGCAGCCTTTGCTTTGCCAAACTGACGATGGCGGTCCGCTCGATTTGTGAATTCATGCCTCGGCATTCAGCAATCCGAAAAACACCAAAACTTGTCATGCAGCCAAGGAGCATTATTCGTTGTACGACGGGTGAAGCCGTGTCAACGACCATTTCGGAAAATTGTATGCAAGGGAAGGTGCACTCCTTAGATCGACAATGCAATTTATGTGTCCCTTTGGTGTGTCGCAATGCTGCTTCCCACACACCCGACGGTCGCAAGTCAAGGATGGCGGAAGCGCTTACCGATTTGCCGATCGATTGGTGCGGGGGCTGACAAGTGTTGGCGGAAGCCGAAGATGCCAAGCAAACCGAAGCGGTCCCCGCTAGCCGCGTTACTGCCTGGTAAAGAGCGTCCACACCCGACCCAGGCACTCGAAACTGGATTCGAGTCCAGAAACGGACATGGAACGACACTACTTGTTCAGTTCAATAATTATCCCATTGCGGTATATGGGCCTGGTCGGGCCAATCTTGTATCGGCCTGTGTGAATAGTCACGCATCGTGGCCAAGCTCCCGCACACAAATCTCGATGACTGGACGAAGTTTGAGTTGAAGCACTAAATAGTCCAGGAGTACAGAAGTACAGTATAGTACAATTATACAGCATTACCGTGGTACAGTAGTAGAATAATCCACCCGTGCGAAAATATAGAACAAAAAGGAAGTACAGCAGTAATATGGTAGTTGTACAATACTGCAGCAGTGCAATAATGCTGTCGTGCAGTAATAGTATAGAAGCGGTAGCACACGGATAACACCCAGTGGTACAATAGATTGCGATAGTTGTACCATATAAACAAAACACAATTACAGTAGCAATACAATAGTTGTGGACTGGTAGTACGGTACGTCTGACAGTGGTAATACAGCAACGGACAATGAAAAACCGATCGATCTGGCAGCCATACAAAGCCAAAGTTTGAAAACTTGCGGCTGAGGCCCTGGGCGCTGCAGACTATAAGTTTCAGTTTTAAACGGCTTGTGGCTTTGTGTACAAACGAAAGTTTTTTGTTTAAATGTTGTTTGGTTTTCTGGACCTTCCCCGCATGCCTCTGCACTATTGAAGGTTACTTGTCGTCCGGAGTGATCATATACGACGCTTTAACAAATTCGGTGTGATGACCTTTTCCGTAAGCGGTTTATATCAAAAACTTCTTTAAACATCTCACAGCCATAGCAAACCAGTGTGCGGAGTTTGCGGCTGAGGCCCTGATGGCTGGAGGCTGTACGTTTCTACAGGAGGGCTTCATAGTTTTCATCGCAGCAAAGCGCTTTGCCCAGGTCCCACAGCCGTGTTGATCATTTGTATTGAATTTTCCACAGTCGCCGCCGGCCCGGTCTCATTGCAGATTTTTTCTTCCCCAAACTATCATGCTAGCATCCGAGCACGGTCGCAACTGCGATAGACCCCACTGTCCAACAAAAACAGAACCATCTCATCCCTCAACACGCAAAATTTCGCTAACCCGATCTACCACCAGAATTACCCTACATGATCCTACGTCTTGCCGCGCAGGGGGAATTCGCCTCGCAACGATGGGGCTTTGTGCAACGATAGCATCCGATAGTTGATAAAACAAAAATGTGATGATGTGCTTGTTTATCACTCGCCTGTCAAACCTCGTGGGTGCATCGGTGGTGCTGTAACACCTTTCGCAACATACCGGATGATCTGACATCTTCTGACATCATGGCTGGCACCTTTTGAAAAATGGATGTTGAGCAAAATTTAAAGCACTAGGCGGTAATAGGCGAGCTTAGAACACATTCGCCAGAATGTCGGGATATGTGGTGGATTGAAGCCAAACTCTTGCCTGCGCGGCTAGGGCAACGCACGAATGACGGCATCCAACCGAAACAAGAAAACAACAACGATTGCACTCATCGGATACGTGTGCACCACCAGCTTCCGGCTGTCTTCAACGATTCGACGAAACTACTCGTCGTTGCAGTGGTTGGTCAGCGTGTTGTTTGTTTATCATGGGCCCGTGCTGGTCGCCGTCGGGGGTACGTGGCTGGCAACATGGCGCGGAAGGCCAGGTCGTGCCACAGCAGTGGCTCGCCCACACAACGGCCCCAGGCGTGCGATCTGACGACCGCCGACGCCTCGATATGGTCGTGTATGGGGCCACGTCCCACGGGGGAGCGCTCTGCTGCGACGCGACACTCGTGTCGCCGCTAACCCGCGCTGGACGCCCGCAACCGTGCGCGGACGCAACGGATGGTGCGCCGCAAGCAGGCAGCTTACCCCGAGCTTACGCGCGGCGGGCCCCAACACCTGGTCGTGCTGGGGACCGAGGTCGGAGGGCGATGGAATGCGCAGGCTCTCCGCTTCTTGCGCGATCTCGTCCGCCTTCGTGCGCAACGAGCACCGCCTGCTGTCCGTGCCGCTGCTGCCGGCGGCTGGTCGAAGCGATGGCAAGGCATCGTATCCATCGCAGTCCAACAAGCCGTAGCGGGCACGGCCCTCGGTCGCGCGTGGCCGGCCCTGCCACAAGCAAGACCGACTGCGGGGCCCAGCCTGGACAGGGTGCTGGACCTTGCCGAAAGCGCCGGGGCGAGTCGTAGGTTTTTGCTAGGCGTAGCCAGGCAGTGTGAAAGGATACTGCCATTGGCATCACGGACAGCAGGCAGCTGGAAAAAGGTGTGTTAAAAAAAAATCAACTGATGGGATGTCCGTCGGCATTCGCTGCATCCACAACCCAAACCCTCCACTGACTCACATGCACGCACACAGTGCTCCACGGTGCCGCACTTGGGTTGGCACAGCGCTGGACGAGCGCTATGCCCGAGAGCCCTCACGAGGCTGCAAGGACCCGTCGCGTCGGACTCGGATGTGGGCAGATGGGGCACCTTTTCGTGCAGGACTTGGTCAAGTTCGAAGCCCACTTCATCGCCGGTTGGGCGAAGCGTTGGTGGGGCATTTCATCCCTCCTTGTCTACGCACAACTTTTGCGAACATCCCAGCCCCGTCCCAGCCAGGTGCCCACCACGCGTACAGCCATTATTCACACCAAACCCAGCGGTACCCTTAGACCAAGCTCGGCAATTTGGCACGTCATCGTGCTGGCAATGGACTGGCGTGCGGTGGGCTGTGGCGGTGCCGCCGGCCGTCACCACCACGGAAGACAAAGCAGGGAAACCAAGTCGGTTACGAATGTGTGGAAAGCTGCAGCACTGCTGCAGCGAATGCCAGGCGAGCCAAGCACAAGGACACATAAATCACATAAGCACGGGGACATGCATTCTGCAATGATGACAAGCTGACCGGGCTCGGCATCGGTTACATAACACGGGAAGTCAGCGACATTTTCTGCTCCAAATCCTTGGTCATGCTTACTGGAAGAAATTGGAAAAGCTGCCGGCGACGCTCGGTAGGCGAGATTCAGGCCAATGGGTGGCCCGGGTCTTCTGCCCATGCTGGGCCAGTCCATCTTCATACTCATCTCTTGCACCCCTCGTGTTGCGGAATGTTGCGGACATGTTGAGATTGGGAATTGGCGCATCGTACAACGGCCCTGTACCCCGAAGGCCGGCGTCTGCGGCCGTGTGGCTCATGCCATGCCACCCCCGGCGGTTGAGCCAGCCGCCTGCTGCACGGCTGCGGTGACTACGTTACATCCACCAGATTCGGGCCAAAGCTGACATGTGGTGCCCGCAGTGCGCGCACGGTCACCAGGTTGCGGACGAGGCTACAAGTGTTTTCGCTGCAACGCCCGCCCATTTCGTCCCCCAGCAAACCATCCGGCTGAAATTTTTGTACTTGCAATCTGCTAAGGTTTGCATTTAAGATGTTGTAGGGGGAAGTTTGCAAAAAGCAACCAGTTCATAACATAGGACACGCAAAGCAGCTTTGAATGGCAGACTTGCAGCACTGGAGCGGAACGAACTGGCAGTATTGCCTGGGCTGTGCCCACGAAAGCTGGTGAGGAGGCAAATGCCACCAACATCCACCCACACCAGCCTACTGGAGGATCTTTGTGCCATGCGCCAGCGAAGTGCAACCACACAGTGAGCCTTGCGCGTACGTTGCTGCCTGATTGGTCAGGTCTTGATGTTTGGCTGCGATGGGGATAAACCCCTGTAATGGGACGGGGTGGTTAGTAGACCTTCCCTCCGTGGTCCCGTGGTTGGACGTGGCTGAAGCCGGGTGGGCCCCCTGTACGTGGGCGGGCGGTGTGTCTGCTCTGTCGGAATCCCCTCCGCGGTCCCATGATGTTTGATGTGATGTTGGTGCTGGTGCGTGCGAGAAGAAATGACAACTATAGGTCTGCTGAGTTTTTTTTGTTGCGGCTTGCCAATACAGGGAGCTGCAGCGTCAGCAGATGCAGGCGTTTGAAGATTCCCAATGCCGAGGACTTGACCGCTAGTCGCTTCTGGCTGCAGTCAAATATATTGAGATGGCGGACATGTTGCCGCGTGAAAACATGTCACAAATGATGCCAAAACGGTTGCTCTGCTGATGACCCCGATACTTGCAGAAAATGAAAATGTCGGCAACGGCTTGCCTTTGCAACACGGAGAAAGATTCGAAGGGTTTGCCGGAAAACATAGCGAAAATGAAACCAGGAGTGCGGATAGATGTTACACGGGCAGGCCGGGATCCGTGCTTGTGGGCAAGCGCCCAAAAAGCAAACTGGACATTATTGTTGTTGTTTAGATGCCTACCCACGCATCAGATAGCAGGAAAGCGCACGTACCAATACCGTCGGAAAGCATCCATCAAAAAATCCGTCCGACCCCCTGTTGGAATGTCAGAAGAGTATTGTGCTCAGGGCCCGCCCAAAGCCCCCGCATGCTTCCCGTCAGAAACACGTCAGAATGGCGTGCGTCAGCAAAATATCACAAACATATAACAAGGCGTCATAAAGGTGTCAGATGTCGTCGCCGTTCCAACGCTTTTTGTTGCCATATACTCTGCTGTGACATATTCAATTCTTCTAACCCTTCGGGATTCCAATCTTGTAGCAGTAGCTAAACTGACAAGCTGAAAACCAAGCCTCTCGTCCTAGCGTCCGCCCACTTCGAACCCGAAAACGACGAGGCGACAGCGTTATAGCTCCGGCCGAGCTCGGGGTACGTCTGTCGTCGTTAGCGAATCGCTGCATTGCGGACGGCCCAACCCGGGTAGTTGTCGGCTCTGTGAGGCGGGCGGCCATCTCGGGTCACCGGGTGGCGTCGACAACAAGTTGTGCGCCGTGCCAAAGCGGCAGGCCTTTGCAAACGACCTCGACGCGCTGTGCATCGGCGACACAGACTGAGGCTGCTGTATGGGTCGAAACATGCATCCAGCAAAGCCATTGTTGGTTCTTGAGGATCGCACGTGTTGCCAGCGAATGCCCTCGCATGTCATGTTACAACACATGACTGGATCGCGTTTTTCTTGCCACACATGTCATGTCAGTGTCTAGAGCGTGAACTCAGCATGCAATGTATTGTGTCGGGACACTACAGTATTACGGGCAAACGTCGTTCAATATTTCGTAATGGGTATGCTATCTGCGCAGGAGCTGCACGAGTTGTCCAAATCATTTTCCTGACCCAGCCTGGGAGGGACAACGCATAAACACACCCACATACACACACACACACACACACATTTTCATTGAGTTTTGCAAAAAGTAATGTACACGCAGTCGTTTGCAGTTACAAAGCAAAAATCTGCACGAGGCACTCACTGCCCTCGGCGGGAGCGGAGAAATCGGGCGTCCCAGCTGGCTTACCGGCAACGCAAGCGACTGCATCGACAAGCCAGCGAGGGCCAGTTGCGGCACACCTGCGATGATACCGCTCCAGCGAGACGCACAGCCTGCACGCATAGCCGCACGGACGGCGTGCGCATGCGCAGCTCGCACTTGCACCAGTAACTACAAGAAGGCTGCGGGTTTGGATCCCCGGCGGCACGTGGCAAACGCGACAGTTCCGGGTAGGTGAAGGCGGATGTTGTGCAATGAAGCGAATTGTGCACTTGTTGGCCGGGCGCACACCTGACTTTGATTTGCCAGTTTGACAACGATGTGCCAATACAACAAAATGCGCAAAACGCTACAGTATCGTCTTGACTTAATTACATCACTGTCGTCGTTTCAAGGCACGAGGCTGCCCGCTCGACGGCTTTTATGAGCGAGTCCGTGCTGATGCTTTCGGAAGGCATCGGCGTTGCAAAGAAAAACACGCGCTGCTGCGACACTTTTATTTTCGGCGGCTCTCCCGAGCCGCACAATCGTTGGAACGTCATGACGCGGTGGCAAAACCATACTTTCCTCGTTGAAAGTGACGCGTGGTGAGTGGTGGCACTCAAGGATTCTGGACATCCAGAAGAGGACAACCCTGGTCTCGCCATCTCTCGCTTCAGCGTCGCTTGCAGGTCGGTCTTGTTTTTCGCATGCCTATGTGGGAGCTCGCTCTCGTGCGACGTTTCAGTAAGTCTCAATAATTCTCACACGATTTGGCACACGGTTCTTGGTCCACTTCCGTCGAACAACGTCATGCAATGATGTATGTGTGTGTGTGTGTTGGAGAGCGAAATTCTGATTTTGTCAGGGTCGGCTGGCAAGCGCAAACAAAACCATCCGGAGCCTTCTCGGAACACATCACTTGTAACCGATGCTGCTATGTACTGTTATGATGGCCCGCAACAAATATACAAACGGCAGAACCCACCTCAAATTCAAAACCGATATAGTAGTGAAGGGCTTCATGCTTCATCTTTTGCTAGGACAATTCGCACGTAGTCTGTTGGATGCACAGCTGCTCGTATCTTTTTGCCCATGTGCCTTGGAATGAGGATGTCTCGCTCGTGACGGTAGGAAAGTTGCCTCTCGCGTCGAAAACCAAACGTTGACTCATGTGTTTCGTATTCAGAAGTTTTGGGATGTTTTGGGGCTAATGGTGTTGGCTGCCACCACGCACCAAACGGTTTCTGCGAATGCACAGGGCCGCCGTCTGCGCCGGCCAGATAATCAAGAAGTCGTCCGGAAGGCTCTGCATGATTAGGTGCACTGTGGAAGGCCGCCTCACTGCACTGGCGTTGGAACACCGCAGCGTGCAAGGGAATCGACTGGCAGGCACACGTCCATCAGCGACGAGCTCATGAGATCGGCTGTGGGGCATGACGGATATGGCAAGCCTAGAATTGCAAGGTCGGCCACTTCTGAAGACACAGAAACAAACATACGGCCGTCAACCGAAGCTGTTGCAGCAAACGTGTGTCACCATTGGATGGCGGTGCGATGCGAGACCTGGTGTTTTCCGAGAGCAATACCAGCAGTCACTGGCATTGATGCACTGCGCCGGTCGCCCGAGCCCACCAAGCGACGAATTGGCAAAAAGTGAGAAAAGGCCGATGCCAGCTCCAGGTTGGGTGTTGGGGCTCCCCTTCTCAGGCGGCACGCGGCAGGGCTACACGAGCGAAGAGCGAGGGGTCATCGTGACTTGATTCCGGCACATCTAGTGCTCCCATGCGACGACTACACAAAGACGCGGCCGGACTGCAGAACTGCATTTTCACCAGGCCATTCGTGAGAGGCCTGGCGCGAACAATAATTGCGCACACTGGGTTTCTGCAAGCACGGCAGTATACTTTGTCGATCACGGATCTTGACGGAAACGGCGCAACGCATCATCTTATACGCGCGGGTTCAATGTGGACCAGTCTGCAGCGATTTCAACTTCAGAAAGCGTTCGTATATATACGAGAACCTGCAACCTGCAAAGGCTTGGGGTGTGTTTTGGGGGGCCTTATAGAGGTTATAGACAAATAACAACCGAACTGAAGAACACCTACAACACGATCAATCTACAAAGTTTGGTCTTGACTTTCTGGTTCGAACATTTCGGTGGGCAGTCTGATCTTCGGGTGAAGGTACATGGAATGCAGCTCAGACTCAATGTCACTCTCCGCAAGCGCATCTAGATAGCGGCTCACATCTTTGGCAAGTTCCGCTTGCAAGGAAGCCGGCTGGGAAAGGTTGCGCAAGCTTCGGTAGTGCGGCCAGTAGCCGGAAGACTCGCACATGGCATCGCAAGCAGGCAGCGCAAACGCTCTTCCTGGCAGAAGGACGGGCAGCAGCCACGGTACCTCTCGCATTGCCTTGTGCAACATAGCTTGGACGACACTCGGCTGCTTCTGGTGCGCCGATTGCCATGGCCGCGTTGGTGTCTGCTATGCATTTAGATTAGGCAGCGTCGTCATTCTCAGAATCGTACCGGCCAGGAGTACTCTCCTGTTGATGCCACCTTTCTTTTTTTGTCATCACGTGTATGCCAAACGCCGTTACTTTCATCCTCATGGATCTTCTGCCGTTGCTTAGCAAGCTAAATCCTACCACCGGATTCTACCGTTGTTCTGCTGGCTGTTGCTGTTAGCTCCGAGTGGTGTGATTGCTGCTAGTTCTTGCTAAACCGTTCTGACCACGATTGCTCTTCTGATCCAGGCCATCAAACGAATCGGAGGATCCTTAGGGTAAGGGGCTTCTTCATGACATGGCCGTGAAAGACTGCGGCCTCTTAGTCTCAATATCCACCCAAAGGCTCCATGTACCTTTATAGTAGATACTTAAGCCTTAAAGGGGTATAGGTACTTCAGGGCCGAAGTATCTACTATATGGGTACATCGAGCCTTTGGGCCACAAAGCATACGAAGGCATGCGCGGCTTCCGTCATTTTCGTTCAAGCCTGCCCGCTTGAAGTTCGAAATTCGCGAGCAGAAAATGGTAGACAGCCGTCGACACGCCGTACTAAAGCGGCGGAATTCAGGCCACTTCATTTCGCATATCTGGTTGGATATCAGGACGGCCCCGAAGCAAGAAAATTTCAGGACTCAGTGTTTGTGAGAAGCATTCGTTTAGACAAAGCGCCAGCATGACTCTCGCAGTCGGGCACAACTGGCCAAAGCAGGGATTCCAATATTGCGGATCAACGTGTAGCAAATTGCCGGACTCATGCAAGCTGCATGCATTCGCTCGACACACCCTTTTTGCTGCCACAGCTTCTTCGGTTGAGTATCTGATTATCTACTAGTAACTCATCTATCTGCCTCCTCCGGCTCAGTCTCACGGGAAGTTGTAGTGCTTCTTGATCGCCTGCGCGACAACAGCGGTCCGGACTTACCCTAAACCCCGAAATCCCCAAACCCCTGAACCCTACACCCCTGAACCCTAAACCCCTGAACCCTAAACCCTGATCCTAAACCCCTGAACCTAAAGCCCTAAATTACCCTCCAAATACCCAAATCCCTACAAATCTCTAAACCGTACCCTAAACCCTAAACACTGAAGGAAGGAACTCGCCTCAGTAGAGATAGGCCCTTCGGTTGCACAGGTGGTCATGCGACAAGAGCAGCTACTTAATTTGAACAGGGTTTGGGGTTTAGGGTTGAGGGTACAGGGGCTTTAGGGGTTTAGAAAAAGCCTTAAGGACTACTTTTGGTAACTATTCAGGCCCCTATACTCGGTCTCGATTTCAACAGTCCCCAAAATACAGTACAATTAAGGATCTATACTCGACAGTAAGGGAAAGTATAATCTATCCCATATTCCTAGTACCAGAGCAGTTACAGTTGTACTTCGGGGTTTAGGATTTATACCAGGGGTTGAAGGGGCCAGGATTTATGGTTTAGGGAGTTGGGGTTTAGGGGTTGAAGGGTCTTTGTGGCTGCATGACTTGACGGGTCCATTTCGGAGTTCAGTTCAGGAGAAGACCCGAAGGACACACCAAGGCTATGGGAATACCCATAGGCCCCAAAAGTAATTCCTTTCTGGGGCTCCTACTTAGAATCCTATACTGTAAGATGATCCCCAAAAAGGAACTACTATGGATTCGAATGGAATAGCTTCATCTCATTTTATCTCCCTCTAGTAAAGCTCCTTATCTGAAAAAAGCCTTGTCTAGCATAGGTCTTCGGGCTCAAAAGCAGCGAATAGCCTGAATCTCCTAAGCCCTAAGCCCTAAACCCTGGGTTTAGGGTTTAGGTAAACCCTAAACCCTAAACTGAGTTGGGGAGGCTCGTTCTCACTAGAGTTTCGGGTTTAGGGCTTCCTAAATCCATAAACCCTAACTCCCTAAGCCCTAAACTCTAAATCCCTAAACCCTATATCCCTAAATCCCTAAATCCTAAACCCTAAATCCCTAAGCTTTTTCTTAGGGATTATAATAACCAAAAATTAACAACTATTTCTCAGTACCCCTAAGTTCGCTGCTCTGGTACGCGGCACCCAAAACGTTTGAAGAGGAGAAGCAGGTACTGCCAGCACCGCATAGTGCAGTGACAAAGCGGCAAAAAGGGGTCTGAATACTTGGAGTAGTGCTTTTGGGTATACAGGAGTACATATATGCTGACGGAATACATAGTAGTATAGAAACTGTTCAGCACCTCTCTTAAAGAAAGACCTAGGGGATGTCCTGATGCAATCCAAGCCTTTTCAGACCTTCTTCATGATTTCAGACCTCTAATCTACACTGAAGCCCTAAACCCGTCAACCACTAGACTAAACCTCAACCCTCTAAACCCAAAATTCTATCCCCCTAAAACCCCTGAAGCACCAAACCCTATCGACCCTATATGCCCAACAAACACTAACACCCTTTTACAAACACCCCAAAGCTCCAAACCCCAATCCCGTTAAGAGTCTCTAGAAGCTCCAAACCCTGAACCCCTCTCACAAAAATTGCACCGCAACATCAACCCTAAACCACGCAAACCCTAGAAGCTCTCAAGCACTGAAGACTCTCTGGCTCTAGAAACCCCCAAAATCTAACGGCCTACTTAAAAGATCATGGGACTTAGCAACTAGGGTTATAATTAGGGTAACTATATTCATGACTACTTATAACCCCTATTAATCGAGGCACTCATAACCTTATACCCATGATCCTCCAAGTATGGTAAGCCCTTCACACTGGGCCTTGGTCACGTCCCAAATGCAGGTCATACCATCGGGAAACTCCACGAAATCGCCTGCTTCCTGGGCTGCGTTGTGCTCTCACGGTTTAGGGCTTAGAGTTAGGGTAGGGCTTATGAGATTCCGGTGGGAAAAAACCGTGTCCCTTGAGGCACGTGGAATAAAAACCCCCCGAGAGAGGATTTAGGGTTTGCAGGTTTTAGGCTTGGCAGGAGGTTGTGAATCCCTAAACCCACAAGGTTCGTCAAAACATTTGGGCTTGGTGAGTTTGGGGCTTTGGGCTGTTTTCTGCCTTTCGGGCTTCGGACTTAAATTCTGAAAAACGGCGCACGCGCGTGCACAAAGAACAGGGCTTTCCTCACACGCGGCTGCACTTGCACTCGCTTCTACGCCGTGGTATTCCCGCTACAGCCTCCTGCTCCACAAGCAGGGCCTTAGGCTTGCAGGGTTCAGGGTTGCTGCTTTGGATTTGTGACTTCAGATGGCCTGTAGGGATATTTCGCCGTGGGTCTGAGGTCTGGAGTGTAAGGGATTAGCTTATGTTCCTTGAGACTGTGCCAGCCTCTTCTTCCAAGAAGAGTCCTACGCACCTATATCATACTTTATGATAATGGAATACTATATCATAGTAGAATACTATATACTAGAAACTAGGGTATCTGTAGTAGGAAATTACTGTTATGGCTTGGGTAACCATACAGGTTCCCAGGACCCTTGTCGCTTGGTGTCGGTGTATGGCCAGGATGCTACGCTCTGCGAAGCCACGCCCTCATCCGAATTCTCAGCCACTTTTGATTTAGCTAATGCTTCGGGTTGAGTTTTCTTATCATGCTTTATGCCTGTGCCTTCTGCTGATAGACGTGTGCCTTCTGCTTATAGACTAAATTCAGCGTCGTGACTTGGCAGGACCATCCAACTTGGATTCCCTGCATCTTGCATCCAATAACTCTCGCGTAAATCCCAATGCTGATTATGACTTGCCCTCAGACCACCACTTCCTTCCAAACCCTAAACCCTAAACCCTAAACCCTAAGCCCTGAAACCTAACCCTAGATCAAAGCTAAACCAAGCTGGGGAAGACAGCAGGGGCCTTTGTCCAGGAGACGTGGGAGCCTTTGAATATCGGGGAGTCCAATGCAAAACCCCAAGTAGTAGGATCCTTCAGAAAGGCTAGGTAGTAGCCTTCACAAAGGTGCTCTGAATTTTCTGAATCCCCGAAGGCCTGTGCCTAGACCTTCATAGCCAAGGCGCAACCTTCGTGGGCTTGCAACCGCTCCATGCTCCTTCCGAACCGGGGTTGTGCTTCGGGTTTGGGGATTAAGCTACAGTAGAAGCCAGGAAGTCGGAACATCATTATCCTCATTCCTTTATGGTAAAGTAGAGGGAATCCTAGCACTAATCATCCTAAATCCATGTTCCAACTTTCTGGGGTTCACTATATACGTATGCGTGAATAAGGGTGTGCGCGGAATGCAAAGCCCCAATCCCGGAACTCTAGGCTGTCTAAACCCTATGAACCCTAAACCTTTAGGATTCAGCACTTCAAGTTTGGAGTTGGGGGTCAGGATTTCGGATGTCGGGCTTCTCGCTTTTGAGGACTGAGGCCCTCGGGTCTTAGGGTCCTGCGACTGTATGCGGCCTTGAAGCCTTGTGTAAGCCCGTAACTCCGTCATCCACATCCCCAGAATCTGAGCTCACCGCCTCAACCCGATCCCTCCGCCTGGCCCCACTGGGAAGCCTTGAAATCAAAAGAACCCGGGGCTCAGCCCGTCCTGTGGGTGTCACGAGCACCTGGGCCGTCAAACGATTTTGGGCTGCAGGGTTCAAAGGTTTAGAGGGACGCAGGTCAGAGAAGTAATCAAGTAGTGTGCCCACACTCCCTCCCTAGTTAGTCCCCAATGCTCGGAGTACTATAGGTGAATAAATAGAATAGGGTTTTGTGGCCCATTGTACCATATTTATATCAAGGAACCCCCTGTATTGCGGGCTCGCTTCATGAAGCTTGCAGCAGAAGGCACCTCACCCTCCAAGATGTAAGCAATTTCCCTTCCGGAGTACCTCGTGCACGTCTCGGGAGCTGCAGGATTTGAGAGGTAACGGCCGGGTTTCGAACCCGGCTTGCAGGATCTTATGGGGTTAAAGACCTGGGGCATGCAGTCCTCAGAGTTTCGGTTCCAAGATTGCGGGTGCTGCGGGCAGAGCTTGAATCACCGGGCCTGGCAGCCGGTCCTGTTGCTGTCGTGATGACTGCTGTTGTACTGTACTTCCTACTCCCACTACAATCACAGTAGCGGATATTCGCCGCTTCGCCCGCTTGTTTGCGGTTAGATCACGTAGTGACGTGCTGTACTTGGGAGTTTCCGAAAATTGGGGTACCTTATTTTGGGGTCCTTATAATAGGGATCCGACGATTTAGGAAACCCCCACTTTGCTATCTTGCATCTAACCGGTTCGCTACTCGACGGTTACTGCATCCGACATCGAAACCCAGCCTGCATACTCATAGGCCTACACGGCTTGCTTCTTAGTTGAGAAAGCGCAATCCTAAAGCTGAACCCGAAGTCTGGCACCCTCCACCGTCGATTTGCTTTTTGCTGTTTCTGAAGGCTTATATAAGGCTTATGGTCCTCCATGAACTATCTTCTTGCGTGACTGGCGTTTGTTGATAGCGGGCTTGTGGGTTCAGGGTGATTCTGCGAGGGTGCAAGCTCAAAGGCATAGAGCTTGAATCTCATTGGCCTCAGCTCACTCGATACCATTTACACGCTTGCGGACATCGGTCATTGCTCAAATCTAGGCGTGGTGCATTCGGAACACCTTGCACAAATCCTAGTCAGCTGCTCGGCAATATCCTGCGAATGAACCATACTCAACACTCCTCATTTCTTTAGCCCGAAGCCCGCAGCACATGCATCTGTATCCCGGCCCAATGCCGAAAGCGCGCCTGCAGCCTAAGTGGTCGTGCCTGCCCTTCTCTCAAGACCATGTAGAACCCTTATAGAACCGTTGCAAAACCCCTGAACCCCACACCCAAACCCCTAAACCCCTAAACCGTGGTAGACAGTCCTCATCACCACCCACTCTTCTGAGGAATCGGCGTCCAATCGAACTTGGAGATATCGCCTCGGTACCCAAACTCTCAACATCCCTCCACGCTACATCCTGAAACGCGCAGGTTCGAAATCCTCACTCCTAAACTCTCTTGGCTCCACACCTTCAACCTCAACCCTAAACCCTGCAAGTCGTCAAGGTCCCAAGCAGGGGTTCTGAAAATGACGATCCTGGTTTGGGGTCCACGGCGCAGTCATAGGGTTCATGGCTTAATGCAGGAACCTGGTTAAGGAACCTTGGGCCTTCATTAAGGTTCCTTATAACTTATATGAATCCTACTATATTGGGTTTTTAGGGCCAGGGTTTCTTAACCAGGTTCCTACATTCGGCTTACTGTATAGTCAGTTTATAAGTTTATACATGGCTTACAGGGTTTACCCCTTGGCGATTATGGGGTTTAAGGCTTAGTTTATGGCATAAGAAACGTAGAGCTTGTGGCGGCGTTCAGTGTTTAGGACTTGTAGAGTTCATAGCATGTAGGGTTTGGAGCATGGTTTATGGGGCTTACAATAAAAAAATATTATGGGCTTAGGGTCTGAGGTTTAGGGTGGTATCCAGAGTCTTCATTAGAGCCACATGTGTTCTGAAGGTCTCACGGGCGTATGGCCTGGGCGTCCGGTTGGGTGAGAGGACACACAGTCACCGCCACCATGATGGCTCCTCATGAGCATTCTTCGTCTGAATCGCATAATTGTTGCCACACCGTACTGCCACTGACCGGTGACAACGCCACGAGCGACTTCACGATCATCATTTAGACATGCATCATTGCCACCGTGCACCATGCCACCACTTTCAGAGTGTTCACCAATTCCTTCGTCGCGATGACGATTATCTTGGTCCTCAAACTTCAAGGACAACGCCCAAACTACCACCACGCCGCTCATCAATACGTTCTTCTCTCCTGTCGGCATGGTCATCTGTGCATCCATCCCCACGGTCATCGTCACCCTCATCACTGGTATAGTCATAATCATTGCACATGGTAGTACAGCTAGAATGCTTGTCATGTCATTGTTCTTGTCATGATGGTCATAGCTTTCTTCTCACGGTTGCCCCTCCGGCAAAGCTTTTTCCGTTCACATGCAGAATGCGGCTCCAAGCCAGCATTGACAACACACCACGTAATAAAGCAGCACACGGTTGCCCTGTTAACGAGGGAAACCGGTTATGCCCTGCCGTTAATGATCGCACAAACGATTGTCATGGTTATCATTACGGTGCTTACTCTCTGTCTTGATCATGACTTGCGAAACACCTTCACCGACTCCCTGCAGAAATGACTGGTCACTCGCTTCCGGCAAGCATCCAGAATTTCAACCAAGAGATCTTTAGGTTTAGGTTTGCAGGCCGTTAGGGTTAGAGGATGGATGGGCTCACAGCAGGCTCAACCAAGTAAGCAGCCGACTTCACGACGGCTGCTGCGTTGCAGAAGCAAGTCGTCTATGGCATCCACTAGAAGTGCCTCCTCCTGGATACCATACCGATGGCTGAATGCAGTGCAGCGCCTCTCCAACACGACCTGTTTTGCACCAGTCTCCTCTGGTCCGAAAGCATAGCCCCACTTTTCTAGCTTCTTTATCTCTGCTTCGGAGCCCGAGCACTTTCCTTGCAGAGGAAGCTTCACTTTCAACGAGAAGCCCTCGTCCATCAAGGGCCTCCAGCTGAACGTGCATTTTCACTATTTCATGATAAGACTTGATACTGCTGATGGACAAAGTCCTGCATGACCCTAAGGACTCTAAACTATGGGAACTATGGTGGTACATTCCTTACAATGGGTAATGCAGGATTTTGTCCATCAGCAGTATTATCCACTATAACACTAGAAGTGTTCACTTTTCATGATAAGACTTGATATTAGTGTTGCTACCATAAGTGTGTTTTTGCTCGTGTACAAACGGCCTCCAGTTGAATTGCTTGCCTGGGCCCGGCTCGGGGTCGTCAGGGTCCTGCCCCACCTGGCATGAGGGGCTTTTTTCCCTTCGGGCTGAGGGTTTAAGGGTTTAGGGCTTGAGGATCTAGGGTTTAGTTTCAGGGTTTAGTTTTTGTTGGGTTTATTGAGGCTTGGAGCTTCGAATCTAAGGGTTTAGGCTTGCGGGTTTGGGGTCTAAGGCATCCCGGGAGGCTTAGAATATGGATTACATGGTATAAGGTCTCTTACTGCACCCGTCCAACAATCGTTCACGGTACCTTCATGTTACGAGGCGTTTCGAACATGTGTCCCCCCTCCTCGTCTGCTCCCAAAACGTTCCATGGCTCCAGCTTCCACCTGCAGCTGATCTCTCGCAGCAATTTGGTAAGGGCCTGGTACTGCTCGACAGTGTACCCCTGTTGGTGCTGAAGCTCCAGCGCAATGGAGATCGAATAAGACTTCAGCTCGTTGAGCTTGCCCCTGCTTTCCAAGAAGCCCTCTTTGTCAACGAAGCCCGAGCCGCCCCAATATGCTAAATTGTAGTCCCATGCCATGAGCTCTTCCGCCACCAGCAAGTACGGCCGCCCTGTAGTCGTAATCAAGTAGTTGGCACTCATGCCAGATGTGATGAACCGAGCGATGTAGTCCTTGTAGCTCAACTCTCGGGTATGGCCCAGGATGATGCACACCGGAGGCTGTCTACCCGGGCTTGGAAGCTCTACTGTTGGAGCGCTCATGCGATTCACCCGACGGCGGTGGTCCTTGCGGTAGTCGGGAATTGGTACTGTCCCATAAGGCACAGTCTTTTGAATGTCTTTCTCGACTTGATGCCACAAACCCCACAACTCCGTATAGCCAGTAGTAGGTGGCTTGGCATGAGCCGAGGGATAGAAATAAAGTGCAGCGTTGTCTTGCTCTTTATCCCCGAACCTCTTGGCAAAACCGTTCAGGGCTGCAAGCAGAGCTGCCTGGTTTTTGGTCGCCAACGTCGGAAGCAGCTCTTGTACAAGTGTTGCGAAAGTCCGTGCGTTGCCGGTCTCAGAATCATCAGCTGGAACACCGGAAGCTGTGGGGAACATGAGAACATAGTTGTTGAAAGACACACAACTGCCAGGCTTGTTCACGAACGTGTTGCAAAGCGAGTCTTTGAAATCCCCCACGAGACCACTGCGGCAGGCATTGATACAAATGATGAAGGTGCAATCGTAGAACCGCTTAAACTGCTCGAGAACATCGTTCAATGTCACACAACTCTGGATCGTTCGCGGCTTTCCCGGAATGAAGTAGAACTCGCCGTTGACTTCGAAACCATGGCCAGCGTAGTACAGAAAGTATATGCCTCCATTTTTGATTTTGCCAGAGAACCCTGCAGCATCAAGAAAGCTGTCAACAGAATCAGGTTCTTGGGCTTCTACAGAGTTCTGCTTCGGAGCAGCTTCCAAGCACATCGTGGCCTCCTGTCTAATACGCTTAGTGTCAAGCTTGTCGAACTCCATCAGTTTTTGCGAACGGTCCCGCAGGTCACTGGGGTCACCACCCACCAGTGCTACTGCGTCATTGAACTTCTGACTCTCTTGGCGCTCCTTCTGCTTGAATACCAAGTCCTGCAAAGATTTCATGTTGCGCAGGCTCATCGTGGCCAGCTCATTCAGCAAGAACTCCAGGCAGCTTTGCAACTCTTGATCTTTCGATTTCTTGGCTTCGTCGAGCCTTTTTTGAACACGTGCCACCTCTGGCGAGATAACCACGGCGTCGTGCAAAACATCCATGGCCACGAGTGACTCCACAACACGCCTGGCTCAACACGCAGACAATCACGGCTAGACTTGCTCCCATACACCTGCGGAGCAACGTAGCTCAGCAAGTGCAGAATGTACTGGACAAACTCATGACCCATGGCTTCAGTAACACGGCTACACCCCAGCTAAATCCTCTTGAAAGACCCCAATTATGATCCGAAACGCCGATTCCCCCGTTCCCCTGAGCATCACTCTGCGGGCCCTGGCATCCCCACTGTCCCCACTTCGAGATGTTGTACTCCTTCTCCGCATCCTCCTTCGACCTGTTGAAAAAACTCTTTGTTGCTAGTGTCACTGATGTTCGCCGACGTACTGTCAGGTTAGGATTTAACCGACCCCCGAACCGAAAACCCTGAAGGACCCGACCCAAAATCTAAAGGTCAGTCCCAGCACATTCATTTGCATTGAAGTCAGCGACATACCGAGGTTTCCATGAAGTTTGAGTAGCTCTTCGAGCACTCACGTCGGCGGCAATGCGGCCGATCTTAACCGTATGAAACTAGCACAAGGCCCCCTCATGGTAGGATCCGGGCATCTTCTTCACAATAATCTCCTCCTTGCTCATGGCCTTGTAATGCTAGCAGGGTGTTGGGAGTTTCTAGACGAGCAGCACGTTGGTGTAAGGCCGAAGTTCTTATATATATATATATACACACACATATATACGCTTTTGTTGATTAAATTGTGTATACATTTGCAGGCGCCTGCATCCATATGTACAAATGAACATAAATCAACACATACACATACACCTGCACATGCACGTCCACATGCACATAAACATACACATACATGTACATAGAACAGACTGCATATGTATATATGTATATATGTATGTATGTATGTCTGTCTGTCTGTCTGTATGTATGTATGTATATATATATATATACACACACGTACACGTATACACATACAAGCACACCATGCGCAGCTCGGCGCCTTGAACGCTAAACAAAGCAGTGAACCGAAAGCCATGCCTCATGTGGCACTGTCAGAGTTTGTAGTTGCCTAAATTAGGGTTCCTTCTAAGGTCCTTCTTACAAGGCCACCGTACCATGTTGGGAACCTCAGAAGGGACGCGATCTTAGAGAACTACCCACTTTACAAAACCTCAATCAGCCCTGGGTCTCGAAGCCCTGAGCTGAATGCACAGCCTGGACTCGGAAGGCTTCAATGCCTAGCGTTAGATCTCCGAGGTTGTAGGGTTATATCCCGGTGCACAGGTTGGATTTGGGGTCCAATCAGCATCTGTAGGGCTCAGGGTTTCATTTGGGATTCCGTTTGGGTCGAAGAGGCCAGAGGGCACAGGGTGCGGAGGTGTTGCAAAACTCTAAGCCGCCCTTGGGGTTCAGAGGCAGAGCCGGAGTCTAAACAGCCAGTACCTTAAGGACGAAATGAGCCCTAAAAGGGTTTAAGGTTCATATAACATACAGGGATTCTCAGTATATGGGTACAGGGCCCCTACTTTTAAGGGCCATTGGGTCTTTCAGGTAGGCTCGTGCGCTGATAGCGTTCCAGGGGGATCTACAGGGATCCTTCGGAGTTCTCCTTGTGCGGCTTATGCGTGTAGGACTCTCAGGCTTAGAGCTTGGTATTTATGGCTTAAAGGGCTCAGGCCCAAAGGCTCCATGTACCTATATAGTAGATACTTAAGCCTTAAAGGGGTCCCTATATAGGTACTTTAGGGCCTAAGTATCTACTATATCGGTACATGGAGCCTTTGGGAGGGTTTGAGGCTTCTGGGACACCGAAACACAGACAGAAACAGACCAGGAGCACTCGCAACCCTCAAGCAAACGTCCCGGGGTTCAGACTGCGGCTGGTAGCAAATCAATCAACAGCCGAGGCAACCCAGTCCCTGTTCACTTATTTGCGTGTTGAACTGAGAAGTCCTTAGCTATCTTGTAACTCATTGTTTGCTGGCTAGACTTCTGGCTAGAGGTGGGTGCAGGTGACAGTCCAGGCATCAAAGCCAAGCGTGGTAACTTTCCAAGACCGATAGTGGCAGCGGATTGACGAACGATCTTGGGTGGTTTCCAGACTACGCACCCTAAGCCCCTACAGGAACCCTAAACGATCTGTGGTGGTTTCCAAAATGCTGAACCCTGCAAGCTAAGCTAAACTTCAAGCAACTGAAGCCTCCTCTCCGAAGTCAGAGCCGCAAGTCCAAGCCGGTGCATCCCTACTTAGAGGCCCAGGGGACTTAGTAAGTGGGTTATAAGTAGAGTTATAAGTCCCCTAAATGGAGTTACCTCAATTATAACCCTACTTATAACCTTACTTACCAAGTCCCATGATCCTCCAAGCAAGCACAGGAAGCCTAGCGCCGAAGCCCCCAGACATACAGTAGAAGCCAGAAAGTTGGAATATCATTATCGTAACTCCTTTAAGGTAAATTATAGGGGATCCTACCATTAATCCATATTCCAACTTTCTGGAGTTCCCTTTACAGGGAAACCTAGGGACCTAGCGGGTGGTCCAGGGATCCTGGACCTGCCAAGCTCCGCTCCCTAAGGCCCGAACTCACAAAAGCGGCACCGAATTGGGAGTTTCCGAAAAGAGGGGTACCTTATTTGGGGGTCCTCATAATAAGGATCCTACTATTTAGGGTACCATATTAGGGTCCCCCATTTTCGGAAACTCCCAATTAGGGCGGTCTGCGAATGCAAGCAGGCATCTGCAGCTGTCAAGACAGTTCATGTGGGCAAGGGCTTACAGTAGGATTCAGGGTGGGTTTGGGTCTAAACCCCAAGCTTCCTTTTAAAGAACCGGTCATCTGTCTCTCTGTACTTCCGTAACCCGAAAGGAGGACGACAGCGACGAGTTCAGCTAGCGCTGTTGGTATGATTTCTTGATCGTCTTCCCTCTCATTGCACCCCAGACTCAACAAGAACTGAGCCTTAAACCCCAATCTTCGAAGCTGCAAACCCCAGGACCCCAGACGCCTGGCGGTGGATTGGGAACCATTTTCAGCTCGCACTCGCACGATTTTGTAGTAGCATAGGGGTTGGTAGACTGAGTGGCTTGTGGGTCTTGGATTTTCGGTCTGAGGGGGTACCATAAGGCCCTAAAGTAGTTCCTTTTTGGGGTTCATATATAGACTATATAGAATCCTATTAGGTAATCCCAAAAAGGAACTACTTTGGGGCCTATGGGTATAGTATAGATCGGGACTTAAGATCTTCGTGATTCCTGGGCATTCATACAAGCTATGTACAACTGCGTAGAGAAGGTTTGCACAAAGGCAAGGAAAATCCCAGCAAAGCAGCACACTCCACTTGTGGAAGAGCTACGAGTGGGAAGGGGAAAGACAGGTCAAAGAGGTGTCCCAAATTGGAGTTAGGGTTTAGGGTTTAGGGGTTGGGGGTGTAGGGTTTAGGGCCCTTTTTGTGGGGTCGGTCTTTGTTCTAGGCTATGGTATATACAAGGCTTCAGGCTTAGGGGTGCAAGACTTGGCTCAGATAAGGGTTTAGGGTTTAGGGTTTAGGGTTTAGGGTTTAGGTCAGGACAACCTCCGCATCTGCACGTGGCATTGCCCCGAAGACTACCTAAAGTCTCTTTCGTAGCTGCCCTGTTGGGTTCACCAGGTTCAAGTTACAGGATCCCACGCCGAAAGCTGGTTCAATCAAAAAAGGAGCTACAATGGGGAGCATCGCCGTCACATCCAATGGCTTTGAATGGGGCTTCCTGCCATCGCTCCGGTTCGAGAACCTGTGCCTCCTAAGGGTTTTCGGAATCCTCAACCCCAACATCGCCACCCTAAAACACACGTCCGAAATCGCAGACAGTCGCAGTGGCATCTCCATCCGAAATCGCTTGGAGTCAAAACCCCGAGTTCATCAGTTGCAATGCCACGCCCAGGAAGGTGAGACATGCCTGCTGAGCTCGCTAAGCCAAACCGGTAACCGTTCATTTTGCCGCTGTTCTCATATATATATATATATATATATATATGTGTATATATATATATATACATATATTCAGTATATATAAGTATTGTTGTTGACATCTTCATTAAGCTTATATGTTACTTTATTGCTATTCTTATCACTACTATTCGAACACTAAACAAGAGCAGTCATAAACTCACAACCCCCAACCCTGATAAGTACAGACCGCAAGCACAGGTTATCTGCTCAGCTACCACGGAAACAGCTTCATGTGGCCGGTCCGGACTCAAGTAGGACCTCGACAGAACGTTTGGAAGGCTTCTTATGGTTAGTGGGAGGAACACACATCCCTCAGCTAAGCCTCACCTGATAGAATTTCAGGAGCAACCTTACAGTCTCAAGAACTTCGAGTCTCTGGGAATTCGGGATCTTTCACGATGAGGCTCCAAGTATTCAGGAAGAAAGCAGACATCACCTCCTCTTTGAAGGCAACAGAGCTCATGTGTTGAAGATTCCAACAAAAAGGAACCATACCACAAACAAACGACTTCAAAAGTAGGCCATCCTTTAACGCCAGAAAACCTACCTTTTCACGGACTTCTATAAGGAAACCGTGATAGGGAACCTTAAAACGGATGGTTTTAGAGGGTCCAGGTAGCGAGGGATCACCTCTGATATTTGGCTGCTGATTGCTCAGGGGCAAGGCTTCCCACCCTCCAGGGATCAGGGCTTTAGGGTTTAGTTCGGGCTTTGGGGTTGAGGGCATGAGGGCTTAAGGGCTTATCCACAGCCCCATCCCTGAAATTACGGGGGTCCCTTTATCTCTGTTTGGGGTCATATGTGGTCTCCCCTACTGTATGCAACTCTGAAGCTTTTTCTAAGGTGAACCCCCCCCCCCCCCCAAGCGCTTAATCCCATTTTACGCAACTCGCAGGTTGCCAGCCATGGAGCGGAGTGCGAGCAAAGGCAGCAGGAAAAGTAACGCGACTGGGCCACCTCGGGGTTTCAAGTCGACTCATATACGGATTTATAAAGGCGCGGACCTCCCTGAACCCTAAACCACATTTTTGTTTTTGTTGGGGGGGAAGACCCTCATTGTGAACAGCGCCGAAGTCCTGCTCAGAAAAGCCGAACTTGGAGATGCACTTTGGGCGATTTAGGGAACTCAAGGCATGCTCAGAGTATAGGGTTTAGGGTTACGTGTTCTTCAGCTACTGACCTCTTCTGAATCCGTATGACAAGCGATCAGAACAAACACGTGACAAACAAAAACCTCTGATGAGGGATCCTCGGCGATCAGGAATATTGAACTCTCTGTGTTTGTTTGCTGGCTTGGGGGGATTTGAGCCATGGGTTGCCAGGCCCTCAGCTCTGAAACCGTGCCCCTTAAACCGCAAACCCTGAACCTTTGAGGGCTTCATACAGTAGAAGCCAGAAAGTTGGAATATCATTATCGTAACCCCTTTAAGGTAAGTTATAGGGGATCCTACCATTAATCCATATTCCAACCTTCTGGAGTTCCCTTTACAGCATGACAGAAGCTCTACTAGACCCAAGAGTAACCTAGGAATAAAAAAGGGTGCCCTTTTTTTGGTTTGAAGGGGCTTAATAAGGGAACCAGAACCCCAAAAAAGTGAATAAGGGCTTACTCTGGGTCCTAGTCTATAAGGGTCCTTTAAGGTAAGTTATAGGGGATCCTACCATTAATCCATATTCCAACCTTCTGGAGTTCCCTTTACAGCATGACAGAAGCTCTACTAGACCCAAGAGTAACCTAGGAATAAAAAAGGATGCCCTTTTTTTGGTTTGAAGGGGCTTAATAAGGGAACCAGAACCCCAAAAAAGTGCATAAGGGCTTACTCTGGGTCCTAGTCTATAAGGGTCCTTTAAGGTAAGTTATAGGGGATCCTACCATTAATCCATATTCCAACCTTCTGGAGTTCCCTTTACAGCATGACAGAAGCTCTACTAGACCCAAGAGTAACCTAGGAATAAAAAAGGATGCCCTTTTTTTGGTTTGAAGGGGCTTAATAAGGGAACCAGAACCCCAAAAAAGTGCATAAGGGCTTACTCTGGGTCCTAGTCTATAAGGGTCCTTTAAGGTAAGTTATAGGGGATCCTACCATTAATCCATATTCCAACCTTCTGGAGTTCCCTTTACAGCATGACAGAAGCTCTACTAGACCCAAGAGTAACCTAGGAATAAAAAAGGGTGCCCTTTTTTTGGTTTGAAGGGGCTTAATAAGGGAACCAGAACCCCAAAAAAGTGAATAAGGGCTTACTCTGGGTCCTAGTCTATAAGGGTCTCGGGGCTTCTCAGGCTTCGGACCCATGGCTTCTTAGGTTTGCAAGGGCGTGGCCTTCTCTCCAAACCTGCAGTCCCCTGCCTGATCTAATATAGGGGGCCTTTCTGTAATAATTAGAAGGGGGTTTGGGGGCCCACTATACTGTAGTTATAGTCAGGAATCCCCAAAGTAGTATGGGTAATCATTTATTTAGGCCCCTATACTTGTAGTCTCCATTGTAGTTCCTTTTTTGGTTAACTAGTTTTATGGTTAGGACCCTTTAATGGAGATTTTGGTTAACCAAAAAAAGGAACTACAATGGAGACTATAGGTAGAGCTCCATGATCTCCTTGAGCTGCCTGCGCTGGGGAACGCCGCTGATCTTTCCGCACCCTCTGGGGCCCGTAAGCCGCGCGATCGATTGCAAGTCATGATCGCTGTATGGGAGTTCCCGAAAACAGGGAGCCCTAATATAGTACCCTAAATAGTAGGATCCTCATTTATGAGGACCCCAAAATAAGGGAGCCCCTATTTTCGGAAACTTCCGTATCAGCAGGGACCGGCGTTGGGGCTTCGAGGGCAGCGAGTCTCGAAGCCAGAAGTCGAATAATGTAGGAACCTGATTAAGAAACCTTGGACCTTTGTTAGGGTTCTTTATATGAATCCTAATATATTGGGGTTGTAGGGCCAAGGCTTCTTAATCAGGTTCCTACATTTGGGTCCTGGCACCTCAGTCGGACTTATTCTCAGCTGCCTGGCTTCTAACCTACTTATTCGGTCCCCTGGCTTTGCCCACACGTTGTTTATTCAGTTTCCTGGCCTAGACGTGGAACCTTCGGAAAATCAAGGACCGACGTAACCAGCAAATCACGAGGATGCGCAGAGGATAAGGACCCTGAATCCTCAACCCTAAACCCTGTAAACCCTATAAGCCCTAGAAGCCCTACAAACTCTATAAACCCTATAAACCCCTGACTCAGCCGTCTTATATAATCTAGTTCATTGTCGGGATAGGGTTAAACATGTACATGTTTATTCCTTCTTGGGTTCAAGTACCCACAAAAAGATAAAATGTTACCCAACTATGACAAAGTAATGTAGGGGCCTGTCGGGGCCTGAAAAAAGGGTTCTGTTAAAGGGCTCCTTTCACGGAAACTATAAGGGATCTAGAAGGGTACTATAATGTAGGGGCCTGACAAAATTAGAATAGGGTTGTGCGGAATATTAGACTATATAACTATGATAAGAAACCCCAAATTCTAGGCTGTTCAGTAACCTACTGGGAAAAAGTATATACTTCTTTTGGCTTCTTATTTTATAATAGGAACCCAGAAACCTGAAAGTAAAGAAGTGTACCACTGAACAGCCTGGTCAAGGAATGCAGCATAAGTTCCACGACAAGGCAAGCACATGAAAACACTTGCATGTTACATATGGTAACATCTAAGTGCCTTAAGCAAAAACGTAGACGGCTAAGATAGGGCCTAAACCCAAATCCCACTGGGACGCTCTGACGATCACAGGCCGCAGATTTGAAGGAGTACCTCGGCTTCAGCATACTTTTAAGCCGGTTCAGGGTCTAGGGCTTAGGATTTAAGGTTTTAGGGGCGGTTGACGGTTGAAGGTTGAGGATCCCGAAACCTAAAACGTATCATCGTAGGAGTTTGCAGGATCGGCCAGGATGCAAGATGTGGATCATAAGTCAACCCGAACTCCTTGAACCTCGAGGAATTGAGTCATCCATGAGGCTTCAATGTATCATGACTAGACTAATGCTGGATTTACGGGTCCCTGACTATGAAACCCCGCGAAAATGCAAGGACGATTTTATGTTCAACCACCTGGGACACTTAAACCCTATCCCTCGGACCTTAGCACTCAATCAAGCGATGTTGGAATCTTCGTCTAACCTTAATACCAATACAACGCCCAGAAAAAGAGTGATACGAATGATTCAGACCTCCATTACCTTATACCCTTTACCTTACCCCCCCCCCCCCCCCCCCAAGTCGGACCACAGTGTTTCGGAACACCTTTGACCCTCAACCCTACACCTTCCACCCTAACGAATCAAGAGGTCTCAAGGCATGCTGCAGTATACACCAACTCCAACGATTCTGACTACCAACTTTACAGAACCCTTCGAAGAACCCTACACCCTACACCCGAAACTCTCCCTAGACAGTCTGATTTTGTCTGGACTTTGAAGTAACCAGGGAGAAAAAAGTATAGACTTTGATTTCATAATGGCTCCTTTAAGGAACAGGGACCAAAAAAGAAATCAAGTATGGTACTCCAAACCCAGGTTGTGGGCTCTTGGAGTCAACCTGAGGCCTGAGGCCCAGGCATGTCGTATCTCAGCTCGCAAGAGCGCACGATGCCAGTCTTCAGGTTGTAGGTCTGCTTGTACCTAGGGTTTAACGGCTTAACGGTTGAGGGCTTCAGGCTTCAGGGTCTAAGGGTTCAGATATGGACCCAAAGATCAGGGCTCCGCCTTATTTGTTCAACAATATGTACCATAAGATTAGGGTCATCAGCTTTTGCAGGGGCAGAGAAGGGGTCTACAGATGTAAGCCAGCCATCAATGTTTCTGGTACGAGAGTTGTCTATGCAAGAAACAAGTCTTCAATCCTTGACAAGTTAAGACCGAGAAAGTTTGCGACCCTAGACCCCAACCCCTAAACCCTAAATCGATTAGGGTTTGGCATCGAAGATCCACATCCACGAGCCGCCTTCTCCTCAAACCCCGAATCGTTGAACAACGCGGCACCAACCACCGTCAACCTTTCTGAGTTGTCCTTTAAGGCCTTCGAAAATTATTCACTATTATGGTTTTCTACAAAATAGTAGGGGAAATTAAAAAAGATCCCAAAGGACAACCCAACCTTTCTTCAATAAACCAAACACTTGCAATCTGCTGTCAAGAGCGAACTTGCAAAATCTTCCCACACACTACCCATATATGGGCCCCACAACAGCTCGCTCTTGGGATTACATTGTAGGATTCTAAATATGAACCCCCAAAAGGAAATACTATGGGGCCCATGGGTAACTTACACCGCAACTTGTTGAACCCAAGGATTTATGCTCTGGGCTCCGCGCTTCTGGCAGGTGGTATAGCCGGTGATCTGACAGACTCAACCATCCACAATACAGGGGCCTTAATAATTAGAAGAGGGTTTTGGGGGCCACTATACTGCAAGTATACGGAGGATTGCGGAGGAACCCCGAAAATGGTATAGGTAATTATTTGCGCCCCTATATTATAATCACAGAGGTCTGGGTCCTAGGGGCTTGGATTTGAAATGGGGCTTTCTCTGAACAAAGTGTAATCGTACCCCCTTATAATTAGAAGATTACACTAACAAGTGTTCCAACCATTCAAGACTAATGCACTCATACACCTATCCTGTGAAGACCTTAGAAGAGTCTATAAACCATGTCCGCATGAATGAAGACCCTGACCCTATGCTCGCTGTGCAAGGGGGGGGACTACAGCTTCGATGCCAGATCCCAAACGTCCAGCTAGCAATGATGTAAGTGAATGCCTTTAGGGTAGTTTAGGGCTTCAGGGTAGTTTGGGGTGGTCGGGAAGTTTAGGATTCTGGGACAGTTTACGAATCCGTAGAGGGTTTTGGGCTCTGGGGGTTTGGATGTTGTTGAGCGTTTAAGGCTCAAGGCTCTAGGGTTTAGGGCGGGCAGGTAGAGCCAGGTCCCTGAAACCTAAAACCCTTCGCACCGCGACACTACATCGTAAACTTGCACGACCCTATATCCCGAAACACTAACACCCTACAGCAAAGCCGTGCCTGGTTGTAGCCCGGTGTGCCGAAGTTTGTGAGAGAACAGCATTCGGCAGTGCCCTGGTCGACTAAGCCGATGTGGAGGATAGGGCGGGAGGGGCCAGCTATAAGTTGGGCTACTGGTAGACTCTATTACTTCTTTTTACAACTCTTCTCGGACATGCTTGGAGAAAAGGCGCTGCCCATACACCAAATTTAACAAATAAGGGCCCAACAAGTGTTTACAGCTGAAAGCGTTGTGCTTCGTGAAAGCAACAAGCTCCCCACAGTTCTCCCGGAACTTCCGCAAGGCGACATCAACGCTCTTTCGTAGAAGCCAGAAAGTTCGAACATCATTATCCTCATGCCTTTAAGGTAAAATAGGGGATCCTCCCACCGTTTTTGTAAAAGCATGTCTATATAGAGCTCAATGCGCGCCCCAGTTTAATGAACCCGTTTTCAATTTAAAGGCCTTACTATACGAGGATCCCGAGGAGACTCCTGTTTAGGAGATCTCTCTTCCTAATCAGACGTCTACAGTATGTGTGAGTTTCCGAAGATAGGGGACCCTACTATATAGCACCCTAAGTAGTAAAATCCTTATTAATTACAGAGACCCCCAAAATAAGGTACCCCTGATTTTCGGAAACTCCCACATGTAGCAAACCCTAAGGCCCTAAGGAAACTTTTCGATTCTTGCCTTCGAACAGATCAAAGACTAGATCAAACGGATCAAACGGTATAACCTACAACAAATAATGCTCATGCTAAGCCCCTAACAAGGAACACATCAATGCTGACCCACCAAATCAAACTTAAACCTCATAATTACTTCAACAGGGTTTTATGGCATACTAAATTTACGGGATCACAATAATGAGGGATACTGCCCGCAATCATTCCGACCTCTGTCTATACAAAACGCTCTAAACTCGAAACGCAGGATTGGCCGGCCCAAGACTAGGGGGATTCATGGTTTATGGTGTAGCAGTCTTCTTGCAGGTGACCCTAACAACGACCTCCCCAACTGCAATTCTGGAGACAATACAAAGCCCCGCCCCCCCAGAAGAAAAACTGTAAACTCTAAACCACAAACCCTGATCCCAAACCCTATAATCCCTAAACCCTCCCCATAAACCCCAACCCCTAAACCCTAATTAAACGACGCTGGAGGCCGAACCTGCAAGCAAAAGCACTGCAAACCTTAGATTCCTCTTCAGGCTCGGATTCCTGCAAGGCTTCATTTAAGCAAATGGTTCTATCAGGATTACTCCCAGGGTTTCATATAGGGAGCTGCATGATCAAGCTCATCACCAATTTCTGGAGGGTCGTTACGAGTGGCAACATGTAAAAGTTCCAAACCTGCTGGAGGGCGAAATGGATGTTGTGCTTCATCAGAAAAGTTCTCCCCAATTGTCGGCGCTTGTGTCGGTTGCTCATTCTTCCCATCAGCTCCCATATTCGGTTCCTCCATCAAAGGAATCATCGCCAATGGAGGTGCCGAAACTTCGCTATGTTCCCTTCGAGTCGCAGTGACAAGAGATTGCCGAAGTAGCAAATCTCTTTCATCGGCGGGTCTTAACTGTGCGCTTTTCTTTATTCTTTATGGTAGAACTTACATGAAGGAGCTCAGAGGGATGGCATTGCCAGTTATCACAGACTCTGTATTCCAAAGCGGCACAAATCCGAAAGCCCTCTCAAAACGGTTCAGGGTTCAGGGTTCGTTTAGAGTTTACGGTTGTTTTGGTTTAGGCTTTAGGTTTTAGGGTAAATCCCCTCTTCAACAGCCCTGGAGTCTCTTGCAGCTGTTTCCTGGCCCAGGGAAGGCCGAAACCACTAGCCCAAAGACTCCAATATCCCTTAATTAAGAAATATACCTTAAATTATAGTAGGATCCCTAATATGAGTTAAGGTATATTCCATATTTAAGGGGTTTTGGAGTCTCTGGGAGCCTCTGGCCTGAAAACCCAAGCACTAAACAACATGACACCCTACATTACTAAACCCTAAACTCCTGAACCCGATGTTAACTTACACATCCACCAGTGCACTTACCCCGCAGCAGAAACCACGACACCCGATTTAATTAACCTTAAACCCTAAAGTTTAAAACCCAAGCCCACAACACATCTACATCCTAAATCCTAAACCAGCAAAAACCTAAACTCTCAAGCACAAACACAACAGACAACTTGTGCCGGCCGCCAAGTCAGCACCATCCTCCCACAAGCCTTGGAAGAGCAGTGGGGCCTTCAAGGCCTAACGATTCATGTGTGTTTAGGGCTCCGGGGGTTAGGGGTGCCTGTTGAAAGCATTGAGCAGCAGTTCTTTAAGAAGTTCTAAGGTGTATGGGGTTTAGACGTGAAGATTGAATGTCTGGGGCTGTAGTTTGCAAAGGCTTGTGATTTCGCGTTTGTTGGCTTTATGAAGTGGGTTTTAGGTTGACCTCAATGCTTAGAGATTGTGGTTTAGCAATTGCGCATCTCAGATTAGTGGCTCCTCTCGGAATTCATTTGCACCGAAATCCACCTAGGAGACTTCTGGGGGAATATTCAGGGTTTGCAGTTTGCATACCTCTAGGCACGAAACCATGAGTTACCCAAGCAAACACGGGACATCATAAAGCGTCAACCGCCGAAGATAGAATGACGTCCGGTTCAACCCAAAACCCTAAAGCACTAATGTAGGAACCTGATGAAAAAACCTTGGGCGTATAACCCCAAAACAGTAGGATGCATATAAGGAACCCTAATAAAGGCCCAAGGTTTCTCAATCAGGTTCCTACATTACGCTTCATCTTTGAGTCAAACCTTTAATCAAACCTGAGGAGGATAAAGCGTTGGGGAGACAGGGGACTATACTCCTTTAGAAAACACCCCCGCGTTTGCGAAGTTCGTGCAACAGCCATAAACGCCCAAAGCTCTAAATCACATTAAACACATCCTGAGCCCTGAAAACCAACCCCAAACCCTAAACCCTAAATCCGAAACCCCATAAAGCCTAAACACTAAAACCAACCCTAAACCCTAAAGCCTAAACCCTAAAACCAGCCCTAAACCCTAAACTCTAAGACCAACCCTGAGCCCTAAAGCCTTAAACCACAAAATCGCCGCGGGACACTCGCAGTAGCTGCAAGCAGTGCCAACTCGATGGACGAAGTCCGAGGTCTGCAACTTCATGCACCTGTGAGATTCGGCTTGTAGAGTTTTAGGGTGTAGGGCTTAGGGTGTAGGGCTTATAGGGTTTAGGGTGTGGGGTTCAGGGATGATTCGGGCTTATAGGGTTTAGAGTGTAGGGTTTAGGGATTAGGGCTTTGTAGGGTTTAGGGTGTAGGGTCTAGGGTCTATAGGGATTAGGGCTATTTAGGAATTGGGGATCAGGGACTAGGGTTAAGAGATTAGGGACTACGAGTTAGGGTTTTGTGCTCGAGTTTAGTTCCAGGGTGTAAGACTGAACCTTAGACTTTATAGACCCTGAACCTTCATGCAACCGTATGAAACTTGTTACAATCGACATGAAGATACAAACCCTAAACCCTAGTACTAGCGACTTAACTTGAAAACCTAGGAGACCCTACACCCCAAGACTCCAAACCCCAAAGCACGGTGCCAAAACATGGGATCGAGCCCGGCCTTAAACGACCAGGATTTCCTCATCTTAGCAGGACACCATGGAGGCCTGAGGGTTCTGGGCTTAGGGTTTCTTCATGTTAGGACTGCCTTACCTGAAGGCCCTTAATTAAGAAACCTTACAAAATGGATCTCACTCTGCGGGGAGTTCTAGGTTTCTTCATTTAGGGGCCTAAGGGTACTTTGTTTGAAGGTCTTCATCATGAGGATCCTACCATCTTGGGTTTTCTGTTCTAGTCGCTTCTTTCCCCACAGAGCCCTAAGTAACTATAACGTAGTCGAAACACGACTATGATTTGGGTAAGCATCCCTCATATAGGTACTTGGGAGTCCATGGGTGCGTCAACCCCGAACCCTAAACCTAAACCCTAAACGGCTAAACCCTTAAAGCAATCCTAAACCCCAAACCCTGACCCCCGAACCCCTAAACCCTATATACACCCCTAAACCTTAAACCCTCAAAACTAAACCCTAACTAAACCGTCTTTTCGTTCCTCAGCCCGCACCCCTGGTCGGACCAGAGAAAGCCGAGCCACTCCACGACTCTGACGGCCGAGTGATTGAACGCCTCACTTCGTCTTTACTTGTGGTTAGAGAAGCTGCAAATAATGACATATCAGGATAGAGCCGTGCTGTAAGGGATTCTATGACGCTTTCCACAACAAATACCGTTCTGGCTTCTTGCTAGTCAGCTAGTCTTGAGGACTTGGGAGCTCATTTTGCTTAGGGCTTATAGGAGCTGCTTTTCAAGCTGCCATGGCAAGGGAGCCTTATCAGTGAATCATTTATATACTGAACCTCACAGCCCCAAACTCCAAACGGTCATCGAATTTGGAACCCTTACAGAAATCCTCATATACTCCTTACAGATATCATGCATCCTTTTTAAGTTGTAGAATTTGACTATCAACGCCGTGAAACACCGACATCTGCAAACTTGCCTCCGGCAATATGGCACGCACGTCCTCGCGTCGAGGTCCCACCGAGGCGCAGCAAAGATGCCTCTGTGGCTTTGGGGTGTTGGGTTTTGTTGTTGGCAGGCTGTGCTTGCAGCGATTTACGGAGTTCTGCTCAGGGTCAGCAAGATTTGTTAAGGATGGATTTAGCGTCTTTCTCGGGGCAGAGGCTCAAGAATCAAAACTGCGACAGCAGCTGGAGTTGCAAACTCGACGGGGAAGAAACTGCTAAACCACATGTGGTCGGATAATACGAAAACGCTGTGAATACCGTGCAAAACTCAGGTTCTGCTAAGAAGGTTGTAGCACCCATAAAAGTTGAAGCGCAACATCTTATAAACATCAAACAAAGATGCCAGCTGTACCTGGCAGGGGCTTGTCAACAGCCCTAAAGCCCAGACCTCGGCGTCGTGTGTGCGCACTCGGGCGCGGAGATAGTGTTCGGGGTGTCCGCGAGGCAGTGTCGTCACCGTCCCCCAAAGAGCTCCCCCCACCCAATTTCGAGTCTTCGCCCCAAGCCCTCCAAAAGCCGTAGCCCGAGTTCCGAGTGAAATCTATGTGCTCTTAAAACTAGTCATAGCAAGTGTAGTTGGTACGGGGGGTCCTAAAATCTCTGAACCCATGAACTCCTACACAACTCCTGAACTCCAAACCCTTAAACCTTGAACTCAGGGTATTTGCTGACAGGTCGCTGAGGAATCCGTGGCAGCTCGTTGAAGGTCATTGCTGCCACCTCATTCGTTACCCGGTGGTGCTTGCTCAACAATTAATCGTGTAAAGTTCGGTGTAGGGTTTAGGTTTAGGAGTGTAAAGGTGTAAAGAGGAATTTGCAGTCCTTGATAAGGGTTGCCGTATGCTGTTGGCAGGTTGCGAGTTCGACTACAGCTTCGCAATGGTTTCGAAAGGTATCCGGAAGGTTTTATGAAGGCTTCGCAGTGTCTTCTGGCATGTTCAGGAGGGCTTGTTGGGCTTGAAACGCTTTAGTGAGCTGAGAACTAAGAGTCTAGGAAGCCAGGGCTTGGGTTTAGGTTTAGGATGTTACAGCCTGAAGCTTTGTGGGCTCTAAACCCGAGTGCCCTAAGCCTTTTGTGGCACATTTACAAGGACCCCCCCAGTAAAAAAGGAAAAACATACATCCCAAAACTTGAACCCTTGATTAGAATATCCGACGTCTTAGAGAGGGCACGGGATTCTCGAATCCCTGTAGCATTCCAGAGTCCATAAGGCCCGAAAGCTTCGAGCACTTATAGCTACAAAGGTGCTGAAGAATCCCGCGCTCGAAAAGGCGTGAAGGATTTCCAGATTCGTTAAGGTATTGCATTTCGGGTATAAGGGGGGAATTGCTCAAGGATACCAAGAACAACGCCAATACTGATGATGCCAATGTTTCTTCGTTTGCTGCTGCTACTGCTGCTGCAGCTACTACTGCTGCTACTACTGCTGCTACTACTACTACTACTACTACTACTATTGTTACTACTATTGTTACTACTACTACTACTACTACTACTACTACTACTACTACTACTACTACTACTACTACTACTACTACTACTACTACTACTACTACGACTACGACTACGACTACGACTACGATTACTACTACTACTACTACTACTACTACTGCTACTACTACTACTACTACTACTACTACTACTACTACTGCTACTGCTACTACTAATCTTACTGCTACTGCTACTGCTACTTCAATAATGAGGTCCCAGGGGATGACGGTTCAACAGACAAGCGGATCCCAGGAAGCGGCGGCAAATCCGAATGGAGAGTCCCTCTAAAGGATTCGGGTCTAGGGTTTAGGGTCAGGGGTCTACAGAGCTTTTGGGGTCTACTTATCTCCATGGAATGGATCCTATAGGGTTCGAGAAGGTGTGATAAGGGGTATATAGAGCTTATAGGGTCTACTTATCTCCGTGGGGGAATGGATCCCTACAGTAGTCCCTACATACCTGCCAATGAAAGTCTCCATAATCCGTTGCCCCATTCCCTGCTAAGAACCAGAGAGACAAGGGCCTTTGTCAGCAGACCAGGTTTTTATAGCTATACTAGAGTAGTGATTTCGGCTGTAAAGGGCGAAAGAGGTAGAACTCCCAGAACAAAGGAATGCTTGGACGAGCTTGATGGGAGAATCATGTGCGAAAGGGTTTAACTGAATGTTCATCTAGGAATCTAGGACATACCTAAACCCCCAAAGCAGGTAAACTCATGGCCCAAGACCTATAGAAGGCAATATTATTCTACATAATGTTGGGGTCCAGGTAGGCCTACGGTCTTGGGACAGTGCCAATTCTTGAACCCTGGGCTGCAATACTCAACTTCCCCCCGCCTGCAAGGGCAGTAGAAACGCCAATGCCATCCGATGTAAGAGAGCCATGATGCCTGCCTCAAGCCTATGCCCCAAAGCCTCGACTACCTCGGACCGCTGCTGCTGCTACATGGTGTTGCAGAGTGCAGCTCAAAACTTGATCGAACCTTAAGCCCTCTAAGCCCTAAACATCCCCAAGCCCTAAACACGAGTGCGATCTTTGTATATGCTGTGTGCTGAAGTGCAGCAGCTTGGAAGCCACGGGCGATGAGCCATTGAGGAATCAGTGAGGCTTGAAAGATGCAGGCAGTTCGGGGCGTTCGATATTGCCTAAACAGTTCTTGCAGCCCCTTTCCGTGAACCCTCAGCCAACATGATCCCCAAAACCTTAGACTTAATTTTCCTAAACCATAAACCCTAATTCCTGGACCCTTCTTCAAGCCGTATTCGCTTAACCCTAAACCCTACTTCCCCAAAGCCTCGACTCTTGTTCCTCGTTGAATAGGCAGCGGTCTGTTTTGAGCAACATCTCATGAGTTTCTGTTGTCGAAAGGCACGCTGTGTCTTGTGACCGCGTCCCTGGGCTTGCGTCTTCTGCGAAGCCTTGATACTCGAGGATCCATAATACTACCACAGATCCTGCAAAACCACATGTCAATACCTCAACCTGTAAACTTAACTTCTGGATTTCAGTGGCATGGGAAGGTACTCGTAAAGCCCTGACGATCCCAAACAGTTCGCTGTTGCATCTCCAGGGCTTTTTACCTCTTTGAAGATTTGACAAGAAATTCAGAATAGCAACCCAAGTTGACCCCAGGTACTCTACCTGTTTATCAAGGGCTTACATAAGGACTTCATACATGAGGACCCCCGACAAGCTGGGTTGATTAATGTGCAGCGAGGGCTATGGTTTCCGGAACTTCTGAATGTTAGGGCCTGCTTAGTGGAAAATAGATGCCTCAATTATCCGAACAGTCTTTAGTAGCAGTTAGTAATATTCATCTTGTATACTACAGCAGAAGCCCCAAAGTTGGAAACCCAATAGCCTCAATCCTTAAGAGAAATATATTGGGAATGCCAGCACTATTTGGCCTTAATCCGGTTTCCAACTTTATGGGGTCTACTGTAAGTTGTTTGCATCTAACTTCTACACCCTCACCCAGAGGCCTCATACAGTATGGTCTTTTGGCCCCCCCAAAGAATCATATGAGCCCTTAAAGCCTTAGGGCAGCATCATCAATCAAGCTCCAGTGCAGGATCTACGTCGGCTGCGGAATTTTTCCTGGGGGCCTGACTGTCGGCAGCCCGTGCGTCGGGGCATGTACTCCAAATTGGAGGGTTTGGGGTTTACAGAAGTTTGGCTTGAACCTCCAAATAGCCGAAAGCTGGTATCTTAAGGTACCAAACACCCTAAGCCCAAATTCTATACTTGGTTCCATCTAGGTTTGTGGCACTCAGTACCTATATAAACGATCGTTTCGGTCAAAGCTCTCTGAGGTGTCAACCTGAGGAGTTCATGCAGCGAGGGAGCTTTTCATGGCTTTTCTAGGATCCCCAGAAAGTTGGGAAACAAAAAAAACCCGTCTGCTCCTGGGTAGTTTTGTAAAAGGAATCGTCCAAGACCACCAAAAAGGGTAAACTGTCCCCTGGGAACTAGGTCTATTGGTGAGGGGAGGCGCTGTAATTGGGATCCTACTGTTTTGGCTCTGTGTACACATATATATATATATATATGTATATACATATGCCTGAATCAAGTGAAACGTTTTTCTATATAGGGATCCACGAACGCTCTGAAACTCCAGTGTGAGTAACCGAAGTTTCCCCAACTTCTCGGAGCCGAATGCAGGCCGTTGGAAGATTGGCTGGGTCCGCCTTGCCCAACATCGAAAACGAATATCAACTTCTGCCTGATCGTCGCAAGGAACAGTTCAGAGCAACTTCGACCGCGGCCCTAAACCTTCGGGGCACCGCATCGCAGGGTTTAGGGTTCGGTGTCCGAAGCTCTGCATTTAAGGTTGCAGGCTCAGTTGGCTTCTTCATCCGTGAGTAGACTCACCGACGCAGCGTTGCCTGAGGCATAACGTGGCATGACTGTTTAGAGCAATTGAACCTCCCCTCAAACCAGCAGACTAAACTCGGTGGGTAGGAACACCAATGTACTTGGCAAGTAGGTTGCTAGCACAACGAAGAAGTAGAGTCGTGAATGTAACGGTGGGCCTTAATATCTAGAGGAGGCAGCTTGTGTATGTTGCAACACAAATATATAAGGCTCCAGGTTTGGTAGGTTGTTGGGTATATCTACATAGGGACGTTCGGGGAACCCTTGCTGTTAGTCATGTTCAAAGGCCCCCTAAGTTCATTACATACAAACACAACATTTCCTAGAGGCTCATACCCTACCCTTTTTGGATACCTAGCTTTATAGCTAGGATTCGATGTATAGACAAGTAGATACCCTACAAAGGGGCAGGGTATGTGAGCCTACAGGTTATGCAATATACACCTGCTCACCGAGCCCTGCAATATATTGGAGTCCTTAGTCTGAAACTAGGGTATGAGGGTACATGTTTTGCTGCCATACATAGGGGCAAGAGCGACGAGAAGGAGATTTCATTGAGCGGGATGAGGGGTCCGCCAGACTCTGATTTGGGGCTTAAGCTTTTGAATGTTGACTCTAGCACTTAAGCTTCGGTTCGACCGACCTCGAAATCTTGCATCCAACTGAGGTTCCACGCAGGTCCCGAATCCCGAAACCGTACACCCTGAACACCTGAACCCCAACCCCTAACCCGAGAACCTTAATCCCCCAACCCTGAAGCCCTGGATGCTCGTGGCTAAGCTGTTGCGTGTCTTTGGTCTTCAAAGCGCCCCATCGGGTTCAGAAACTTTTGCCGCAGTGATTTAAAAAATTGGAAATCGGCTTCCGTTAAGACTTCGATGATTACAGGATTCTACAGCATAATGTGTCTACATAGACTAATCAGCTGCTGTGACTTAACAAGGGGGGTTCTTTGTAGGTAACTCTAGTGGGGGCTCTGGGTGTCTTTGCGTGTGTTACTGTTCTGTGGGAGTAACATCAGAGCTGCCTAGAACTACGGAGCTTACTACCCATAGGCCCCATAGTTGTTCCTTTTTTGGGATCACCTTATCGGATTCTAAGTATGACCCCCCCCCCAAAAAAAAAAAAAAGAACTACTATGGGGCCTGAGGGTATCTCTGTTTCTGAGGATTGGAAGGTAGGGCTTGAGACTTAAATCCAGCTGAAAATCTAAGTAAGGTACCTCTGAGGGCCCAAAGGACCCAATGGTAAGGTACTCGGGTGTAGGATACAGTAGTAGTTGTGATAGTTGTGTAGGTTACTATTCTGGAGAGTATACCAATGATAACTAGGTACTTGAACCCTTAGGGTACTGCAGCTCTATCTCCTTACAGGCTCAGTCACAGTGCCTATAGCCCTACCTAGTTACTAAGGCCCCTGAACCCCTAAGCAACATCGGACCCGAATGATGTTCGATCCTGAGGGTCCCTCAAGTCTAAGACGGCCAAAGGGCGCATCAGAGCGGGGATGTCCCGGCTACTTCCGCTACAGAGACCTCGGCTGCGGTATAGCTCCGAAGGCGAAAGCTTACCTATAGTCTCCATAGTAGTTCCTTTTTTTGGTTTAACCAGTTATATATTAAGGATCCTATAAGGTAACCCCAACAAGGAACTAAAATGGAGACTATAGGTAAGGTGCAGGGACGGCTAAGGTCTGTAAATGAGGGCAAAAAACTGGCGGGGTGGAGGTGCTCCAGTCGCTGTAAGCTGCTTCATGTCATGGATACAGCTGCTTGTTCCTATGGGTTGGCATTTAAACACCTTGAAAATATGTATATATAGGGTCCCTTATAGACCCAGAAAATACAGAGTGTCCCAAAATCCAACCTAGTCCTGTATGTAAATATTAGCCCCGAACCCTTATTATATTTCGCACCTTCGAGCGATGCAAAATCCAGGCCCGAAAGCACCCACATTCCGAACCAGCAATGCAGAGACTCCCTTCTTCAACAGCCGGAAGTTGAAAGTTCTCCCATAAGACATCTGAGAAGAGCAAGACATGGAACCTCCAGTGGCGGAGAGCCTAAGTAGACTTCACCCACAGACCCCATAGTAGTTCCTTTTTGGGGTTCATATTTGGAATCCTATAAGGTAAGAAGGAACTACTATGCGGCCTATGGGCAAGTAGCAGGAACCCTATTATGAGGACGTACAAAGGGTTCCCCACAATTTCAAGAAGCCTTCAAGTGGGCTCATTTGCGTTAGTGGTTTCAGTGGCTGGGCTTATGATGTACCGAGATGGCAAGACGACGTAACCTAAACCCTAACCGCTTTAGCTCAAGCCCGCATCGCAAAAACCCTATAAAACCATAAGTTCTAAACACTATAAGCAGACGTATCGGCCAGGTGCTGGAAGCGTCTCCGAAGCTGATGCGGCTCGCGGTAGTGGAACGACTGCGGCACTCTTGGTCCCTCTGAACAGCCCTGAGGCGCGCCGGCTTTAGGGCTCTATAGAGCTTGTAAGGGTTATAAGGACTTAGGGTTTCGGCCCCAGGGTTTAAGTCCATTCGAAAAAGGGCCCTAGATACCACTTATAGATCATGGGGTCTCAGATACGAACTCCCCACATCGTAGATGGATGTTGGGGGTTTGGTGGGCCTACTTTCACAATCGTAGGTTGTTGAGTTCCCGCATCTTGGGAGAGCTAGGAAGAATTTTGAGGGTTTCGCACGTAGGGACAAGGATTGACATTTTGGGGGGTAAGGGTCTGTTTTGCGTGTTTAGTGCGGGGCATCAGCACCCATGTAAGCTCTGGAGAAGTGGCCTAATTAATCTAAACGTTGAGAAGCGAACAAACTATTCAGGCTCAGGGGTTTGAGATTAGCGTCCGGGGGCTTGGCGTTTGGGGTTCAGGATATCTCAATCCTTGCTGGAAGTCGTTGAGGTATCACCCAGTCCAACCCTACCAAGGCATAGCATGGGAAAGGAAGGTGGGCAAACAAATGCCAAATCCCGTAAACTCAAAAACCCAAGCCCAAACACCCAGTTAAACAAATTTGCACAACGAAACCTAATTACACGCCTGAAACAGAACAAAGTAGAGCCTAGGAATATGATTCGCATTTGCAGCACATATGATTGTGGATATAGCGCTTGCCGGCCATAGAACTGTTCGGTTTTAGGGTCCTCTGGTATTATGCTGTCAGACCTCTCGTCCACTTGCAAGTTGTGCCCGCTGCAAATCGAACAGATACTAACCATAAGCCCCAAACCCGACGGCAACGCCCGAAATCGGACGAGCAAAAACCTGTCAGCCCGCATGGTCGCCAGGTTGACGCTGTTGCGCCAGGATCTTCTGAAACCTAAACCCTAAACCCTGGAACCCTAAACTTAACCACAAAGCTAAACCACCATAGTCACCATAGTTAATCTATTTCTCGGTAGGGCATCCTGTCCAAACCTCAGCTAAAGCGAACAGGGAGCCATCTGCAAAGCTAGGTTACATGCAGTCTTTACCGTATCGTGAGGTGTCTTAAACCCTACACAGGCCAAGTGGCAAGTAGCGGCTATCGAGAGTGCTTGTGGTAGATTTCACTTCCGGCTTCTGCACCGAGCAGGCCTTCTCCAGATGCTTGTTCTGGTGGTTTAAGGGTTCACGGATGTTCAGGGTGTCTGATCTAGGATATTCGTGGTTCATCATTCACACTCGTTGGATGTAGGAACAGGAACTCCGAAAATCCAAGCCCCGGTCCTGAGGGAGCCTGCACTCCACAAGCTACCCTAAACATAAACCCTATACAACCTTAACCCTAACACCTGAATCTATAATGGATCTAATGAAAGGGTTCTATAAGGCTTCAAGCCCCAGTTCATGCCTTGTTCTGCTCGTGCATCCGCCGGGTATCCTCCTCAACTTCTCGCTGAACTTGTTTCAGGAGGTCTTCGAGGGATAGGTCGTTGCAGCCGTAAGTGGTGAACGCTTTGGTCAAGTAGCCCATGTTCACGCTGGGGCACTGCCTTCGCTTCAACAACCACGAAACATTTCGCCCAATATACATCATCTAGGATACCCAGTAACCTAAGAATAAAAAGGCATCTCTTTTTGGTATTGGGTAACTTTATAAGGAACCTAGGACTACAAAAAGGGAATAAGGGTACTACTGGGCATCCTAGTTTTTACAAGAAAGTGAGGATCCCCGCAAAAAACTGCCAGGAAAGACATGAACAAGCTTGAATTTAAAGCAGTTCTATGGCCGATAGGCAAGCCACTGCGCCACGCCGCCACACTCGCAGGCGTGGATGATCACGAAATCCGGCCTGCAAGCCAACCCCCACGTCACACCTATATGACCTACCTGAAAAGGCAAACGAAACCCTGATGTCACGCCCGAGCCCCAAAACCCTAAGCAAGCTGCATAGCGAAGGGGTTGGGGCTTGTAGAACCCTGAATATGTCTCCAACCCAAACGTTTGGAAAGCCTAAACCCTTAGACAAATCCTATAGCCCCAAACCCAAAATGCCACATCCTGCCATAAACCATTGGCAACTGGCCTCGAGAGTTGGCGCGCTCGTCCCACCATCCGTGTTTGGCCAGCAGCTACATCAGCTAGGCGGTTTCGAACCTCCAAAGGTTCGGATTTGGGGTTTCCACGCCTTGACTCCGGGAACATGTTGCTCCTGCTCGTAATCCACTCCCCAATGACCCCCCCCCCCCCCGCCCCCCCCCCCGAGCTTCAGCAGCCACTGACACGCAGCGAATACAAGCTTGATTTGGGCTTCCAAGCCCCTGCGAACAGAGATTTTGACTATGGAGAGTGCGGCTGATGGGGAACCCACCTGACTTGATTCAGACAAAAATCGTAGTGTTTAAGTGAGCGTCCGAATTCATTCTCAGGGTTGACGTGGAAGACGCCTTTTTGGCTTGCAGGTGTTGTTAGCTATCGCAGCCGTACAGCGAAAGCCCAGCCTCGTGCGAGCTTGGCGTAGAGCGACAGGTATCCAGGATTAGCAAAAAAGTTGGCTGCACCGCGTCTGCCGGATCCCTGTCTGGTGAGGCTACTACAGTCTCCATTGTAGCTCGTTGGTTGAGCACATTTACTTAAGGTCCTACAAGATAACGCAGAAAAGGAACGACAAAGGGCTTTGAATTTATGATGTATAAACTTTCATGGTTCTTCAGTCTGATCGCGATTAATCTGTTTCACACTTCTGGATAATACTTGGGCCTTGTTACGTAGAATATGTTTCTGCGGTATAGTATACTAAAGTCATAATCATGAAGCCCGAAGTAGTATCAGTTGTTAACTATTCAGATCCCCATAGTAGGCTTTAATTATGTCCTGTCAGAACCCCGCCCCGAATCGGCCTCATGGCGAGAGGACGCTTAGGTCACGGTTTAAGTTTTCGGGTTTGGGGGTTCTGCGCTATGCCTGGATCTCCGGTGGATCTTGGCGGCACGGCACATAATGGAGTCCAACGAGATCAGCTCATCGTTTTGGGAGTGAGCATCACTCGGAACCAAGAACTGGCCTTGGATTTTACTCGCCAAAAGCAGCTCTGGGATTCTTGATTCTTAGGGAATAGAGATAACTAGCGTTGTTTCGGGCTGTAGGCTGGGGTGCTGTCGCAGAAGGCTACCACAAAACCCACCTAGTGGCTGTTCCCAACTTCGACGCCGTGTCCAGCAAAGAAGATAGGAACAACCGGATTCTTGATGCCGCACTTCTCAAGATCGTCGAGAAGACGCTGTGTGACCTGGACAGACTCCAACTGACCCAACAAGTCCCAAGTCCATGAAACCTGAAGCACGTGCCCAGCTTAGTGGGACCCCTTCCTTGCACACTGTCCTTAGCGATCCGAAAGGTCCTCCCGTTTGGCCCACTGAAAACAGCACGGCCAAATGCTGGTCCTTGGATGCCCTGGCTACGGCTCAATGAGAAAATTCGATGATCATTCCTTCAAAATATCTTGTGGATGATCTGTCAACATGACAACTTTAAGGATCAATGCACCACCCAAGTCTTCATTCCAGCTACATCCTTAGGGGGTCCCAACACCCACCTCCTTGGCAACTGCGCATGTGATGTCATGACGGTCGATGGCATGATAGCCCAGCCTGGGTTCATGTTCAGGATTTAGGGCTAGGGTTTATAGGTCCTAGGGTTTGGAGAAGACTGCAAGATTTACGGTAGTGGTTGGTGGTAAGGAGGGTCTTGGGTTAGGCTAGATCGAGGCTCGAGGCAAGTTGGCTAAGGGCAAGCAAAGCTACAGATTGAAGCCGAGTCCTAAGCTCCCAGGGCTACGACCTCGCATCTTTGATATGAAGAAAGAAAGAAAGAACGACACTCCCCAACCTCGACCTGTTTACCAGCATGCCATACTCCTAAACCCCAAACATCCGAAACGTCAACGGCTAAATTCTCGACTACAAGGTCGCCCTACCCAGCGGCCCCCAAGTAGTTCGTTTTTGAGGTTCACATATGAGCCACTGCGTTTATTTATTGCTTGGGCTAATTACGCTATCTCGAAGTGGTGCCCCTATCTCGTTTCATCATGTTAAGTACTGGCAGAAAAAGTCGATCTCGTTCAAGTATCGTTAGTACTAGATATACTTGATCTCGTTTGAAGCGGTGCCCCTATCTCGTTCCCCTAGTAGGGCTAGTTCCGACAACAAAAATACTGCACGGAGGTATCTCGTTTCAAAGTACTGTAGTATAAACGCAAATAAAAGCCGTCGCTCATATAGAATCCCATAAGGTAATCCTAAAAAGGAACTATTATGGGGCCTCTGGGTAAGCCCTAAACCTCGGTCTGACGAGATCCCCAATTACAAGGAGCTTGTCAAACATCAGAGCCATCTCCTCGCCATCCTTGCGTGCCCAGGGCAGCGGATTAAAGGCCTCGGAACCAGACATAGTTGTTTTTGTCTTCGTGTTGTTGATTGAAACGGCGTTGATTGTGCAATGATGTGTTTTGTGCTCTACTTATTGCTCCAAAATTAAGAACTGTAGGGCCGCATGGCCCTTACCTTTGATCACTGTACTGAACTTAGAACCCTAGCACAAATTATAGTTTTAGCTGTTTCTTAGGGAATATAATAACCAAAATTAAACACTATTTCTAAGTACCCCAAGTTGAGGGGTCTCGATCTGAAGCGGTTTAGGGCTTAAGGCTTTGACGTTGGGGTCTCACGGCTACACCCGGGCAAGGGTTTTTCTGGTCCTCAAACTCTGAAACCCTGGAGCCCTACAGCTGACTAAACACTAAACTGCAACACCCAAACCCCAAAACCCTAAACCCCAACGCCTAAACCCTGACTGCAAAACCCAAACCGGACACCTGTCGGAGGCTAAACTGATGCCACAGGGATCCACAGGGTGTATGGCTTGGACTATACCCCCCCCCCCCCCTTAGAACCACAATAAAAATACGAGCTTGAATATTCCCTTGGGCCTTATATATATAAAACAAATTCCTAAGGAAGCTGTGGTGGAGAGTCGAGGGTTTACGGCTGAGGAGATCAGGGCTTCAGGGTTTGAGTTTAACTGTTTCGGGTTTAGGGTCCGGGCCATAATGCTGGTCTCAATTTGGACTTTGGACCGTAAGGCTTGGGGGTTTTCATTTAAATTTGGACTGAAGTTCAGGTTCGGAGGTTTGGATGTCGGAGTTGGGATGTAGAGACACCCGCAACCCCCGAAGACGGCTAAACATAAACAAATCGAATATCCTAAGCATGTCACATGCTCCTGGAAACCGAATAAGAACCCGCACCGGCAATGACAATCGGTTCACCCTTGATTAGTAAGTCGGACTTACAACTCAAGAAGTTGGCCTGAACATAATCTCTACTACGCTAACCAACTACTTACACCCATGCCCTAACCCAGAGGGTTCAAATGCCAAATGGTAGTGCTTCACATATCAACAACCAGCCAGAGGACGTATGAAGCCCTACTGTTTGGGCACTTGGACCCTTAGCGTAATAAACCCTACTCAATCCCCGATCGTCAACGTGGACGTGCAGGGCACAGGCTCCTGTATGAGGAAGAGCACTAACCTGTAGAACATACAGTAATCTCCCAAATACTATACTACACAAACCCAACTACCCAGCTATTGGGTAGAACCTACAAGAACCATGGAACAAGAAGCTCGACAATGCGAGCACCCAGGGGGTAGGTTCAGGGTTCTCGTGGATGCATCCGGGAGTCTCCAACATAGCTGGAGTTATACCTTGCCCCAGCGATGTCCGTGGACCAGTGGAGGGTTTCGGCTTCAAGGACGGCCACGATTTCGGTATTGTTATGGACAGATTTTTGTATGTTATAGTCATAGTTATGAGGTTGCTCTTCCTCTTGCTCTGCTCATTTGCACACGTGGGAGTGAACTTGCAGGTGAAGTCTGTTGTTGCTGCTGTTGTTGTTGTTGGTTGTAGTGGTGGTGTTGCTATTGTCGTCGTTGCTGTTGTTGTTGTTGGTGGTGGTGATGGTGGTGGCGGCGGCGGTGGTTGTGTGGCGGCGTGGATGTTGGTGGCGGAAGCCGCCATGGGCGGCGGGGCATCGTCGTCGTGGTCGTGGTGGTGTCGTTGCTCAGACTTGTGCTTGGGGCGACCTTATCTGTGTCCTTTGGCATTGCTGTCGTTGTCAAGATCATTGCCGTCGTGCTGAGTCGTACTTCGTGTTGTGACTGTGGTCAAGACCTGGTTACGACATCCCTGCAATACAAAAAACATCGATACATCAATCCGGCAACACCCTTGAGTCACAAACCCACCTCAAGCCTCCGAAAGCCCAAAAGCAAACCCTGTTTGGGAACCCCAAAACCCTTTAACCTTGCCTCGAAGCAGTGAACAGGCAAGCTTAGTCCTATTGATGCACAACCTCCCTCTCAAAGCCCCTATCCATCCACTGGGACCCTTGCAGAACCAAGGCCGGTGGTCGGCCACTGCCATGGGGAGCCGGGCTCCTGACATGTTAGGCCGAAGGTTCAGGCTTGGGTTCCGCTTAGGGTTTACCTATTTTTTTAAGGCAGTTTAGGGGACCCTATAAACCCCTAAATTTGTAATTGTTTTCTCGGGTTTAGTCTAGGAATCCTTTCAGAATCGCTCGCTCGGGTTCAGGGATTCGGATCTAAAGTTCAGGGGAGTTTGTGTTCGCAGTGTGGCAAGAGGTACTGGGCCTGGCTGGGGTCGTTCGCCTTTGGCGGCATATGCTCTCTTGGGCATAAGTTTTGTGATTTGGGGTACGGCGGTGTAACCTGGAGTTCATCCCGAAGCACTCCCAAGGGCTTCAGTTACCTAAATGGGCTACTGGCCTACATATTGCATGGCTAGTTAACTGGAGCCCTGGGACCCGTTCTTTGCCGATTCATGTGTGTCCAGAGTCCGGCTTGAGCCCAGCTCCTCAAGATGATGACGAGGTATCGAAGGCTATTAGGGTCTGGGGTTCATACCCGGGATTTATCAGCAGTTCAAATCCATGGACGTTATGGGTGTTTTTTTCTCGGGCCTAGTATTTAGGGTCTGGGATACAAGCTGGATGCATGTCAACCCGACATCCCAAGATGGGTTCGAAGGGCGGCACCTCCTGCACTTCTTCCGGACGATGCATAGCACGAGCACGCTGGTAAGCACCTGGGCCCCGGCAGTCATCGAATAGTATTCGACTCCTTCGTAATCTATGTTTATAGGGGGATGTAATAATTACAACAGAGCTTTGGAGTATGTTATTCCCGAAACAGACAGCTCATGTTCAGAAGCCCCAAGGAATGACATTGGTAATTATGCCCACGCCTATATCAAAGCCTCAGCCCGAACAGAAGCGTCAACAGTCCAGAATTGCTGCAGCAAAGCCCTGAGACACCCAGAACCTCTGCAGTTTGGAAGCAGTTTTTGGACACACGACTCGTAGGGGCTTAGGCTTTACCGCACAGCGGGTCTTTATCACAAGTGCCAATAATGAAGGCATCGCGACCTCATCCCAGAACCTCAACGCCTCACAGCCTTGGAGGCTTAACATCGTCATCTACAGATCGCATAATACTTCCGATAATCCTAAACCCTAGACTAAAGCCTCCACCGTCCAAGTACCTGAGGAGCATGGTTTAGCCTGAAATGTACACTATTTAAACCCTAAACCCTAAACCCTAACCACCAAACCCTAAACCCTATACCAAACCCTATAAACCCTACACCCTAAACCCCAAACCCGAAACCTACACATCACCAAGCCCGAGCTGCCATGGCAGCGCATCCTCCGGCGAGGGCCCAGCCCACCAGATTCGACTTGGGAGGAGGCCGATACCTCGATCGCCAGGGGGCCTAAATAGGGTTTACCTGGACCCTAAGGAACCTGCCGTTTTAGTGTTTTTAAATATTATTTCTTTATATGAATCCTTAAACAGGTAGGCTACTTGGGGTTAAGGTAGGCCTTCGGGTTTTGGATTTCAGGTTGATGACTTAAGGATTTAAGAAGCCGAAACTTGGGGTTTTAGGATTTAAGGTTTAGACTTGGAGTTGAGGGTTGAAGAGGCCGATACCATACTCCCTGTCCAGGAAGACCTCCTTGGTGTCCCTCTTTGACACCCGTCTGCTGGGTGGCAAAAACCCACCCACCGACCAACTGCCGCTCGGGCCTTGTTTGGAACCAGCAAGCCGGATAGAAACCTGTCCTGGGTTCTTGTCAATTGAGCAGTTTAATTTCAGTCACCAGAAGAGGGAAACCGTGTTATTTACCAAAGATCCCTATTATGGCAACTCAAATAAATTAGTTCCTTAGCAAGAACCCAGTATCAAGGCCTGTAAATCCAACCCCCATCGCCATACAAGCACATCTAGTGACGAGGTGCTGATTGCAATCCATCTGGCACTGATGGGTCGCCGACAAAGGCAGCTCCAAACAGCAAGCCTCTGCGAGCCAAGTCTCCAGCCACAATTGGCTTTGAGGGGGTCGCATTGCGGTTCGGGTTTGACGAACATGCCCGTAAATATGAAAAAAGTGTGTGTGTGTGTGTGTGACACACACACACACACTTTTAAATCTGAGCAGCTATGTTCACTGTGATGAAGACAACCTTCGACATTGTGACATCAAGGCAGTGTGGGTCTCTTGTTCTCGTTCCCGATATCTGGCCCAGAAGCGACTTTGTCACATTGTTGCATCTGGTTGGGCTATATTTACCCAAAACAGTTCAAGGTTACCGGCAGAGCACTAAGCACTGGTGTCCTTTTTGCAGCTGTCGTTTGAGGGGCTTGGCTGTGTTCCCATTTCCAGGGCCTAAACTATAGATGCGATACTGAGAAAAGATGAGACATGTTTACGGTTTACGGCTTACAGAATATCATATCCATATAAACCCCAAACTCTACACCCTCATCAAGTTCGAGATAAAGCTTCTACGTAGCCGAAGCTAACTTGATTGTCCTTAACATTGACATTGTTGCGGTTCAACGCAGCGGTCGCCTCCTTGTTGTCCTTGGAGCAATCCGACCCCAATCCTGGGCTGTTGTTGGAGGCCCACAAAAATCGTTTCTCTTTCTAGGAGATACGGAGACTCCAAAGCAGGTAGGGCTTTGGGTTTGGATTTTAGGGCTTGGGGCTGTAGGGTTTTGGTTTGATACTGCTGATGGACAAAATCCTGCATGACCCTAAGGACTCTAAACTATGGGAACTATGGTATATTTCTTATAAAGGATAATGCAGGATTTTGTCCATCAGCAGTATTATGGGTTCTTCCTAAGAACACGTCGAAAATCGAAGCTCTGCTCCCTCTGAAGAGTATAACTGAGTATAATCGTAAAACAAAAGCAGGGTTCTGTTCCCTCGTACATAAGAATGTCTGAACAATCGAAAGTGTTCTCAAGATCCCAGGCTCCATGCCGACACTGTCCCTGCCAGCGAGACTGGCAATCCTCAGAAGCACCGGTTTGGGGTGCAGAGTGCATAGATTCGGCAAAGCTAGAGGAGGTGCGAACGGCGTGGTTCCAAGACCCCAACCCTAGACCCTCTATCCATCGCCCAAAGGATGCCAAGTGCCGACATGGGTGAAAGGAGTGTTCATCTTCGGTGTGATCATTGTAGTTGGCGTCAGTGTCCCCGCAAAGGCACTTCGGACCCGTGTATGGAAGCCTGTTGGACTCTAACCGTACGCGCTGTAGAACCCTATAACATCGTAACCTACCCTGAGCGTCCTCTTCAAACCGCTGGCAGGGATCTGCCGCCGACACAGAGACGTTCCCTGCCGTGGAATCCCAAAGCTTCATGTACCCATGGGATTTCGGGTTTAGGGTTTGGCACTTAAGGCGATGTGGCCCAGTACACCTTGGACGGCGGGGGGTTTTTGCTGCTGTTTGAGCTCTGTATTCGCTAAGTGAGGGCTACTGGGCTCTTGAAACAGGAACGCCCCAGCACCCAAACAAAAACATGCAGCCCTTGCTAGTGTGCGGGCTCGTCTTCTGAGGCTTACCGGAATTGGCTTTGATTTGGGAGTTAGGCTTTCTCGGCCACGCTGTGGTTTGGGGCTACTGCCTCAGCCGCTTAATTAGACTCCACACATCTCTGAGTCCCTTGAATAACCAGGCGCAAAGGCAGCTCAATCGTCTCGTCGCTGGACCAAGCAATTTCCAAGGTAGCCTAATACAGGAACCGAGTTGAGAAATCCTGGGTCTTGAAGAGGATTCTTGATGTTATCAGGCCAGGGAATCTTATTCAGTTTTCTACATTACTTCCGCTTAGTGCTCCTCAAACTACTGCCTAGGCTTCTCCAGACCCAAAGCCGATTCCTCCCGGGCGGAGGCAGCAGATTTTTTGGCCGTGGAAGAGGCAGTCGTACCCCGGACCGTGGGGGCATGGCCTTTGCGAAGTTTGTTTGGTTCAGGGATTGAAGAAGTAGAGCTCTAAGCATCCTGATTGGCTTAGAAATAGAGACAGGCATACTTATCTCACCAATGACCCTGATACTCCTTGAATGCCACGCCAGGGTTGAGGGCGCAGAGGGGCTTCTCGAAAAGCAGGGACTGCTCATAATGTAGTGGCTATTGTAATTAGAAAAGGGTTTTGTGGCCCATTCTACTTTTGTTACAATAGGGAAATAGTATCGGTAATTATCAAGGCCCCTATTTTGCAAGGATGTGGAACCGGATATATTAAAGCTTCTCCCGAATGAGGATTGCAGTTAGTTGTGGTTCTGGCATTCATACAGCCCTTCAAAAAAGAAGGGGGGCTCCGTTGGTCTACAGTAGACCCGAACACCATGCCCGCGTCGCAGATGAGGATCAGTGGAGGTAGCAAATACGGTTACACGTAAGTAAAGCAAATACAAAGTTATAAGGGCTTTGTTCAGGATGGAGTGCTTCAGGGTCCAAAGACCGTCTCTGGCCGCAAAACCTGTACCGAGGAGCTTCTCTTAGCAACTCAGGGCTTTGTTTGGGCCATGAGGATGTAGAGCTGCAGGATACTGCAGATTGTGTCTTTTCATGCTGGTGGGTGGGTGGGTGGGTGGAGTACCGTTAATCAGCTAATCCAATTGAGCCTGATAATAAAGCCCTTATTGTAGATAGAACCTTACGAAGCCTTTGTAATACCTTTGACACCGAAGCCCCGATACTCCCACACCATCAAAGCCAGTACCGTGCCGGGCTTGATTGAATCAAACTCGCGGATGACTGCATAGAACTTAAAGCCCTAACGACATCCCCAAGAAGAAATACGAAGCATGCTTAAACATCGGCCCGAAAATGAAAAGTCGAACCAATGAAGCAAGCGAGATCCTTGAACATCTTTTGAACCCTATAGGGCTCAGGCCATGGCACCCTGCGTGCCTACGCGGCAACGCAGCAAAACTGACGGCCTGAACCTGAAAACTCAACTCCTTAACTGCCACAAGTCCGCCCCCCGAAGCCCTAGTCTACGGAAAACCAATAAAGCTCTGGCGAGGGCTTGAAACTGCCCCAGAACTCCCTAATACCCCTATAGACCATAATCTACGCACTATACTCCGAAACCCTACCTGTAGCCGAACAGACCTACTTTTTCGGGAACCATGTACAGAAACCATAAGAAGGAACCCTCAAAAGGTAGGTCTTTTCGGCTACAGGTACACCCTAAACCCTAAACCCTCAATCATCGGTCCCGGGTACCGCCACAACGAGCAGTTCCGAGGCTGGCATGGTGAGTGCGGATCTGGATCGGCTGTATGATGCTCGTCGCCTGTTTTAAGGCACCCCAAAATGCACATAAGCAAGAATTGGGATCGGGGTATCCCACATGAATCCCTTTCTTTATTAAGACCAACTAGGCATGGACATCCTTGCAACATGCTCATGCTGATGTCCTTTTGCCGGCCCCCCTATGTTTGGGTTTGGGGTTTTTGGCGGCATATGTACGGTCTAGGGATTGAGAGGCAGTTTCAGGTGTAGGGTTTTTGCAGGCTCCAGATTTTCCCCTCTTCGAAGCCGTTCGGTTTCGGCAGATTCTTGTTCAAAGTATGAGGCTTGGGCTTCCCTGATTCTTAGAACTGAGGGCCTTTCACCTTACGTTTGGTTAGTAGAGAATGGAGGGATGGGGTACAATTATAACTACTATTGCTACCATTCTTCCATTCCCTACTCACCAAAGGTAAGTCACAGAGCCTTCTCGTTTCGGGCATTAGGGTTTAAGAGTTCTCCTGCAAGATCACGGGGACTTGATCTTGTCTATACTGAACTTAAAAACCTAGCAACAACTATAATTTTAGCTGTTTCTGAGGGATTATAACAACCAAAAATTAGAAATTATTTCTAAGTACCCCTAAGAGTAGAGCAAGGTGCAAGGGTGTGGGTTGATCCTGGGCCCTCCGGCCTGCCGAACTTACAGAGTTTAGAGTCTAGGGTTTAGGGTGACTTGGCCAAGTATTGCGACTGACTAATGTAGGAAACGGATCAAGAAACCTTAGACATTTATGAGGGTTCCTTATATGAATCCTATTATTTTGGGGTTATAGGCCCAGGGTCTCTTAATCAGGTTACTACATTAACGAAGTTAGTAGTTGGCTTAGCTGTGAAGGTTATTTGCATGGGCACCGTGCCAATCCCTTCAAGCCTTCAGCCCACAGCGAAGACCCTGAACCCTAAATCCCCGAACCCCGCGATGCTAAGTAACCTCGACACCGCTGAAGCTCCAAGCCCGTCAACCTCAGCCCCTAAGCCACTAAACTCCCAAGCCCAACACCCCCTAAACCCCTGTTAACGCAGTAGCCCTCAATCAAACCCTGCGCTCAGCCCGCCTTGCGCCCACAGACCTGGGAGCTTCCTAGGGTTTACAGTTTAAGGTTTACTTATGGTTTAGAGTTTAGAAATTGTAAAACTAACTTGTAGGGGTTACTTGGGGTTTGGGGTAAGAAATTAGGGTTTGGTGTTTAGGGCTTAGGGTAATTATAGGGACCCTAGTAAACCCTAAACCCTAAACCCCAAATCCTAAACCGTCTAACCCAGAGACTCGGACCCTTATCATGGCAAAGCGACTTACTGGTGCTTACGGGAGAGTGCACCAAAGAACATTACGGCTACATTGGGGTTACTATATGCTACAAGTGATATTCTGCGGGGTATGAATACAAGGGGTACTATTTGACGCACCAGCCGATTGTCCAGAAGTGAACAGACCATCACTGGTACATCGCGAGACCAAAGCAAGATAACGCAAGTCACGAACTCGTCAGAATGATTGACAAGCCCATCAAGTTCGTGGTGCATCTCTGGTTTAATATATACTAGGAGGAACCACGTTCAAAACGATCTCCAGTCATTGTGGCCCAGGAGCAGCAAGGCGTCTCATTTTGCAGGCAGTTCAATCCTTGACCACGAACACAACAGCCTTGTTTCTCCTGCCCGTGTGGGATGCTTCGGTTTAGGATCGCCAGGGACTGAACCCCAAAACCAGCTACGTTTCGGGGCTCAGGTTTGGACTCCAGCTTCAACTTCGAAATGGGGGCTTCCGAAAACAGGGGACCCTAACATAGTAGCCGAAATAGTAAGATCCTTATTACAAGAAACCCCAAATAAGGTACCCCTAATTTTTCGGAAACTCCCAAATTGGGGGCCATACATCCAAGACAGGAAGCTCTGAATTTGGCCCAGCTCGCGATCGTCTCCGCCCTAAACCTTGGCTTCTTCCTGAGCCTTAAGCCGTGCACAAAGCCTACACCCCCTGCCTGCTGTCGCCAGCTATCAGAGTCGCCCTTGTTTTTGGTTGACACTGGTAATCCTGGTAATCCCAAACTGCCAGAGTCTCCAAGCTTCTTAAGCAGAGGACGCTAAGCCCTAAACCCTAAACTCCAAAGTGTAAAGCCCTAGACGCGTCTGGTGTTAGATAGATCCCGTTCGGATTTGTTTGTGATTAGACGACTTGGAAAGTCGGGCTGTGATTTCAGTTTAAGGTTTATGTATGTTTTCGGGCTTACAAGGTTTAGCCCAATGGTGTGGTGGTGGTGGTCGTGGTTGGTCGTGCTGGCGGCAGTGGTTGCAGTGGTCGTCGTCGGACATCGTGATCGTCGACGTCGTCGTCGTCGTAGTAGTAGTGGTGGTGGTGGTGGTAGTAGTAGTAGTAGTAGTAGTAGTAGTAGTAGTAGTGCTAGTAGTGTTGGTGGTGGTGGTAGTAGTAGTAGTAGTAGTAGTGCTAGTAGTGCTGGTGGTGGTGGTAGTAGTAGCAGTAGTGGTAGTACGGTAGTACGGTAGTACGGTAGTACGGTAGTACGGTAGCAGTAGTAGCAGTAGTAGTAGCAGTAGTAGTAGTAGTAGTAGTAGTAGTAGTAGTAGTAGTAGTAGTAGTAGTAATGGTAGTAGCGGTAGCAGTAGCAGCAGCAGTTGTCGAAGGAGGAGGAGGAGGAGGCGAAAGAGGAGGAGAAGTAGCTGTGTCGCGGTGGCAGGGGTTGTAGCAGGAGCAAAAGTAGTAGCATAGTCGTTCTCGTAGTCTTGGTCGTCGATGTCCGACACTCCACCCCAAACCCAAGAAGGTCCTGCTGGGCAGCGCTGGCCCCTTCCTCTATGCAGCATGCCTTTCCTGAGCTGATGGCTCGGCAGTTGGAGGATCGAAAGTACACAAAATCACTCGTAGACCTCTCACTGTCAGAACTCCTGAAAGAAAGTCTGAAAACTCCCTCGACCCCGTCAAAACCCTCCGTACGAAGCCCATGGCTCTTCAAATCCGCAAACTTAAATCACTTCCCGGGAAGCTTTTAACAGTATATTCAGGAACCCTACCGAATATTATTGCTAATTGCCCCCATATTTGTAGCCTATGGTTGGAGGGGAACTTGTGCCTTCTTTGGGGTGTTGAGGGGTGCATTCCTTGAGCACTTAAGCTTGCTTTGCGGCTTTTGATTTCTGGTGTCCCTAAGAAGATTTAGCTGCTTTAGGTGAGCACTTCGTCGAATGGTGGTATGGGCAGTGGATCGGAGGATTTCGTGCCTTAAAGGCTTGAAAGCTTTGGGTCTGTAGTACTACAATGGATGTCTTTTGTCTGTGGCTTTTTGACTTAAACTAGATGTTCAACAAGAGCTATTGAATCTATTGTAGTAATTACGAAGAACCCATACCATATTTCCGATCTGGGCTTAATTATGAGTGCTTTAGGCTTGGGGGGTTGGGTGAATGCTTCGGGTTCAGCCAGGGCTGATGTAGCGCGATGATCTAAACATGCTTTCCTATCTAAGCCGCCACCCGTAAGCTCAACTGCAAACTCACACGCCGGGCGAGGGACCCCCCTTCCCTTGGCGTGGGACTTTCAGCGTCCGTCCACACTTGTGGGGATGTCCTTGGCCGAAAGAGGACTCTCAAGCCCAGTTCTTGTTTGGCTACTTTGTTTTGGCCTGCCAGGGCCTTGATGAACCATAAACTAGTGCGGCTAGCCAGATGGGGGTTTCCAAACATAGGGGACCCTAATATAGTACCCTAAATAGTAGGATCCTTGTTATAAGGACCCCCAAATAACGCACCCCTTATGTTCGGAAACTCCCAGAGTGAGTCCTGGAAATCATGGCAGAGTCTTGCTCTGCATGTCTTCCAGCCTAGAACGGAAGGCGCCGGCAGGGTCGAATTCAGGGCTAGGCTAGGCTTCAACAGGGCCGCAGAAACAGCAGGAACCCCGAAGATCGAACACGCGTCGCCGTAAACCCCAACGATCTAATGCCGTATAAGCCCAAAGGCTCCGATGTACTGTTATGGGGGATACTTCCCAAATCATAATAGTATTTCCTAATATAGAAACCCTACATTCTACTATATCGGTACTTTGGACCCTTTGGGAAGCCAGGCACTCCAGCATGACGCGGATTCTGGTATAACCAAGTCAGTCGAGCTACAGTTTGTCTAAGGCCTCAGTAAAGAACTCTGGAAACCAGAACCCTAAACCCTAAACCCTAAACCCTAAACCCTAAACAGTAAAGAACTCTGGAAACCATGGGAACCCTAAATCTTCAGCAAGTAACCCCGTGCAGGGTAAAGAAAAAATGGGCGGCCGAGGGCCAACAAACCGAATTTAGCCGAAAAAGGCTACAGTTTGCAGATTCGTGTTTGCTTCCAAAAAAATCTGCATGCATGTTTAAGCCCTACGTCGTAGCACATAGTTATATAGTCCTACATCTGAAACCCAGAGGGCCGGAGGCCCTCAATCCCTATAAGCAGTAAGTCGCTAATCCCTTAAGCCTTACACCCTAAAGCCCCAAGAAGGACCATCCACGGAGACTCCTATGGCCCTTGGGCTTAGGCTTCGGGTTTTGGGGCCTGGGGGCTCAGGCACAAGCCATCGCATGAACGACATATCCCGGATTTGTACCTTTTCAGCAGGGTTATGCACAAGCTAACTATGCTCGTAGTTGTACCATACTACAACCCTGACGAACCTCGCACTACTTACATATGTTCCTTTAATGAATTCTGGAGTGGGGTTGCAATCTGCCAGCCATCACCGAAAAACCCTAAACCCTGTGTACCCAAACCCGACACTCCAAAATGCAGCTCGAAGACCATGATCTCCGGTTCGGCAGCAGCCATCGCCGCAAACCACGGAGCCCGTGCCGCAGCACATGAGCTTACAGTATGTACCTTGACGCAGGCTCGCCCAAAGTCTAAATCCTGAACCCTTTAGTGTCTTTGGGTTGAAAGCTTAGGCTTGGAGATCCTAAACCCTAAACCCTAAACCGAGGGTCTGCGCGCTGCTTCCGGTTCAGACTTTGGTGTTTTATGCGGAGTTCCAGAGGGTCGGCAGGTCAGGCTCTCAGGCCTGCAGGACATTGCCCAGGGCTCCAGCTACCTGAATAGTAGGTTTCTAACAATATATACATATATATATATATGTATATATATATATGTATATATAAGTGATATGTAGCCCCCTGATTTAGGTAAGGGGAGCCGAAGGGAACGAACAACACTTGAATCCTACCTGCTGGAACGCCGAGGTGCCGTTTTCCCCTACCACCGCCTGCCGTGCACACGGATAGCGCCCCTTCTTACTAGGAGTGGGAAGCTGATCCTGCTCGCAGCACGCAGCCACATTAGTCTGATCTGGACCCCAGCCGCATGACAAACAAGTCTGGCCAGACTTGATGCAGTACTGCACGTCCATGCAGATTGTGTGGTGCTTCGGATACTCTGCAGCTGGGCAAGTTTTGCGGAGATCAAAGTCACTCCCGTGTACAGGTTTGGCCGCCACCCGGACGCCAGCAAGCAGACAAACCAGCCATGTGCACTGCAACATGTTCAACATCCTACATGAACAGTCGATGCAGTGGCGCAAGGCGCTTGAGCATCAAACAGAAGGCCTCAAATTCAACCCGACACTCCCTCATGCCGGAAACAATAGTCAATAGAACAACGATATGGAAGCTAGAATGTGTACTAATGTGCGAATACACCACAAAAAAGTCAACATCTCCGGAACACCCCCCCCCAGGGCAACGGCAGGGCCGGGTTCGCTTTGTTCTCTCGTTGCTTCGGGCTTAGAATTTGGGGATTGCGTCGGGCTTCGGGGCGAAATCCTGGAACACCTGCCTCTGGACCGTTTCCCTGTGCCTCCAGGGACCTTATTATGGGGTCATTATGGGGTCTAGGGCCCTAACTATGAGGTCCTTGGAGGGATAGGGTTTGGGCTTACAGAGGTCTTTTGGTCAGCAGGTAAGGCCAGTGTGAGGCCATTCGGCTTGCGTCTAGGCTTCAGGGCCGTTTGGGTTAGGGCTTCGATCCAGAAAACCTTCAAAAGCCTCGACCCTAAACCCTAAAACCCCCTAAACCGTGGTTGAACCCAGGACTGCACTCTCGCGCCTTGGGGTATGCGAGCATAAAGCAATAGAAAGCCTATGTAAGGGTCTATATCGAGCTAACAGTGATTGAGGCTACTCGACGTTCAAAACATAGAACCCAAACTCTAAACGTAAACCTTAAAGCCTGAACACAAACCCCCTTAACCCCTAAACCACCCTGAACCCTAAACCACTTCTCGGAATGTACAACATGCATACAGGGGCCGTTATAATTAGACTAGGGTTTGGGGTTTAATATACTCTGATTATGAGGCACCCTAAAGAATACTGACCCGCATAAAAGGCACACAGTTCATGCTTGGAGGTCCTACAACGGAAGCCGGGCAGCAAAATGCACAAATTACACTAAACCGTGAACCCTCAAGGCTCAAGAGCCACCCCCCCAAAGCTCCAGGTGCCTAAACAATTGGCTACTGGCACTGGTTCACATACTGTAAGGTTCGTAATGACCCTACATAAACTTCAAGCCTTTCAAAACCCTAAGCCTTTAACCCTGAATCCTAAACTTTTATGAACCCCTACAAAACCCTGCAACCTTCAGCCCCGTTTAAGCCCTGAACTAAGTGGCGCCCAGCAGTCTCAGAGACGGCTGTGCCTTTTGTCAGCGAGTCGTGGGGAAGACCGATGCTTCACGCGGAAACTATTCTAAGGCCAAGGGTTTGTAGGATTAAGAGTTTAGGGTTTAGGGATCCCATTGTTTGCCATGTAAACTCGTTAACGTATATGGGTAGTTGTCAAAATTATGGCCCCTTTTGGGCACCCTAAGTATTAGGTGCCGTATTATATTAAGGGCGCAGAGAGGGACCGTATATAGTTTATATAACTAGATGGGTACATGGGCCTTCCGACTCTGACAGTTAGGTTCATGCCTTAGAGTCTTTAGAGTTCAAGGAAAGTTTAGGGGGCTTAGGGTTTTATTGGGGGTTTCCAAAAATTAGGGGACCCTAATATAGCACCCGAATTTAAATTGTAGGGTCCTTATTAAAGAGAGAGGGTCCTCATTATAAGGACCCCAACAAAAGGTACCCCGAATTTTCGGAAACTCCCAATTAGGGGTTTCGGGTTTCCGGTTGCCAAGGCAGCGGTCAATGCCGTTGGAGCTAAGCTTTTTCGGTCTGGAGCTCCCAAAAGGAGAGCCCTCAGGATCTCGGTAGCCATCGTAACGTACTGTAGGAACCTGATTAAGAGACCTTGGACCTTTTATTCTGGTTCCTTCTATGAATCCTACTATCTTGTTATAATCAGTTTCCTGCAGCATTAGGGGCCTCAGAAGTTAACGCTTACCTGTCCAGTATCCCAGGGGAGTAAATGGTTAACCGTTGGGAATATCTAGGGGTTATAATACACCAAAAAGGTTAAAGGTTACCTGCTCTACTACTAAGAAGAGGTACTCCGTTCCCTTGTGCCTCAGGAGGTTGAGGGCACCTAGTCGCGCCCTCAAACCGAGCATCAGAAGCCAACGTTCTGACAAAGAGCTGCCGGGCCATGCGGTTTCGCACAGCCCCCCGGCAGTCTTCTGCAGGCAATCTCGACAGATGCATGTGCTGGCCTACCGGCGTTGCCCATTGCGATTGGGTTCAAGCATTCAGGCATGTCTTGCACTTCATGTAAATTTTAACTTCCAGAGTTTATGCATAGTATGTAGAGAAATAGATCCAACATCGGCTGCGTGCCCACACAAGCATCCGCTGCACCTCCGTCTACGAACCGTTCCAGGGAAGCAACGGTGCCCCAACATGTCCGAACAGCTGCGGGGGTACGCACAAAATTTGCCAAAAGGCTGTTGCAACTCGCAATGTTCGCACATTTGTCGGGGCATCGCAGGGAACGGTGCATACTAACCACATGGACCTTGCGCAAAAAGATGGTAGGTCAGTGCTACATATCATGTACGGTTCCTCAACCATCTACCCTCGCCATCCGAGGGGCCCGATATCCTAAACTATACTGAACTTAGAACCCTAGCAAAAATTGGAATTTTAGCTGTTTCTTAGGGATTACAATAACCAAAAATCCAAAAATATTTCTGAGTACCCCTACGTAAATGGCATGGTCAACCTAAACTGCGAGAGTCTCTGCTGCAAAACCACAGGAGGAGTCTGCCCAATCTAGCGGAAGCTAATTAATACTCCAAGCCTGTGCCAAGTCTTACTTACCCCTGCAAGTGTAGAATTATGAGCTTGTGCCCGAAGTCTTTCGCCCTTTCAAACGTCCTACGCCCCATGTTCCTAGACGGCCCAATTATGCGCCACTCCTTGTGCAACTCCTGAACTTTTGCAGTACTCCATTATAGGCTTTATACACCGTGATTAACTGGGCATCCAACCGTAGTTCGAGTGCATGTGGGATGCCTTGGAAACATGGATTAAGTTTCGGTGCAGGTGACGGAGACTATACTCCTCGTCTTGCTCTTTCTGTCTAGCGCAGCAAGCTGCGGCAAAGTCACGATGACGTGGAAACCTATTAGCCTATAGGGCGATACAGCCCTTCTGCACGGAATTGAATTAGCAAGCTTGCTGCCTCTGTCTCCAGTGGATGCCAACGAACTTTCGCGGCTTTCAAAACCACAGGCTCACCTGACTCCACACGCTCTACACGCCACCGCCGAACACTACCGAGTTTTCGCTCAATCTTGCATCACTAGACCCCTGCAATCTAGAGTTTCAAAGGCCACCCTAAACCTTAAACCCTAAACCTTTCAATTAGGCTGCCTGCATGCTCTTGGCGGGCTGGCCTTCTGGGTCCCCGGTAGCCTCTACAAACGAATCATAACCAGCCGGATAAAGCCTGACTGGGTAGGATCTATCTCTACCTTGCATGACTACTGAGGCATCTATACTGAACTTAGAACCTTAGCAAACATTCTAATTTTAGCTGTTTCTTAGGGATTATGATAACCAACAATTAAAACTATTTCTAAGTACCCCTAAGGCATATAGCTACTAGACCGAGGAAGCCTCAAACCCCGAAAGCCCTCAATCTCGAAAACCCTCAGCCCAAAAAAGCCCTAAACCTTAGGTACGGCCCCCATACAGTAAGAGTCTATAATAGGCTTACTAAGGTCCTACTATATCTATATTATGAATATTCTTCAACTATTACTGAGTGGGGGCCGTACCCAACCTAAACCCCAAAAGCCCTGATCCCCAAAAGCCCCACATCCCGGAAGCCCTGATCCCCGAAAGCCCTCAATGAGCTACTTTACCACAGCCTTGCTGCCCGTCCTACCCCAAGGGTCCAATTACCCTATAACCACATGGGAGTTTCCAAAAATTAGGGGTACCTCATTTTGGGTCCTTTTTAATAAGGATCCTACTATTTAGGGTACTATATTAGGGTCCCCCCCATTTTCCGAAACTTGCATATACTCTCAAAAACCTTAACCTGCATAACCACGATCCTAATGCCAAGTACCTCATTATTGCGTCCCTTGGATAGATAGGTTTAGGATCCTATAAGGTAATCCCCAAAAAGGAACTACTATGGGGCCTATGGGTAAACCGTAGAATAAGGGTGCTTTGCCTGAGATCTACGTGACTTACGGTTAAAAGGTTACCTGTGTTGCTTTTTTTGGCGGGTGGAGCGTGTAAGGGGGGTAGGGTTCAGGGTTTAGCTTACATTTCGGGAAGGAGAACGAAATCTTATGTGTTTTTTGAGCAGGGGGGGCGGGGCGGGGTTTCGGGTTTGTGGGGTTCAGCGTAGGAAAAACGTCTCGTAATGTTTTGCACATCAGTACATGTACACAAGCGTCTCATGTGTTCCAAACTCTCCGAATCGAGCGTGAAGACATGCATTCCTTCTGAGGAACCTGACACATTTGCAAGAGGTTTGGGGTCCACCCAGATTTCAACTCTAACTAACCGACCGCTTTGGGGGCTACTTACGAAGACTTCCTTATATTGTCAATTGTATACTGTAAGTCGTTAAAGCGGAAGGCTGTTCAAAATCCAGACAGTTTAAGGGTACTACACACCCACACCCGAGACGAAAGTCTAAAGCGGTGTGCTACGGTGCAGTCTGCACCAACCCTGTTCGTGTCTATGCCAAATCTATGGTGCAGCATGCACCGACCCTAGTGATTTTCTACTGATGGAACATCTTTGTAGGTGTAGTACGCAGCCTTTGTCTGCAGTGGTGTGAATCACGTGCTTTACTGGGTCAGCGGAGCATCCACGAGCGGATGCACATCATTGCTGTGCTTGCTGAGTGGCAGGCTGCGGCTTGCGTAGAACGACTTGCAGATGACGTTTGGAACTTGCATTGGGTTTCAAAAACAGCTCCCAGTGCAGAGTTTCTTTTGAAACAATCGTGAGTTGGAACGTGAGCGCTTTCAGAGCACTCGTGTCGAGGAGCTTAGTACGACTCCTCCGAGTAGCGTCCCGCAGCCATGAAATCCTGCGGATGCACTTCGGGTTTTGGAGTTCAGAGCTTAGGAATGGAGACGACTTCACATAATGTAGGGGCCTTAATCGTTAGAATAGGGTTTGGGGCCCATTATACTATACTTATGGGAACCCCACATATATAAAAAAACAGTAACTATTACATAACTCTTTAGGCCCCTATATTACTCAACAGTTGGGAAGTTTGCAGGACGATGACCAGCTTCCTCTTTACCGTTTCACGAATGGCAAAGATGCGGTGATGATGGCGATGACGAAGGGGAAGGTCATGACGATCATGGCAGTGGTTACACGATTTAAGTTCAGGGTTTTAGGTTTTGGGGGGTTTAGGACATAGAGTTTAGGGTTTTATGAAGAGCACGAAATTGTAGGGGAGTCGGTGATGAATATTCTGATCGTGGCTAAGTTAACCAGCTACACAGACTAGCCTGCACTGTCCGTCAACACTTGGGAGTTTCCGAAATTAGGGGTACCTTATTTAGGGTCCCCTATTTTCGGAAACCCCCACTTGTCTTGCCTCAAACCCGAAAAGCCCCCGATCGCCCAAATCCTGCACCAAGACACCTCCGCACCCCGGACACCTTTTGACAACATGTCGAGACGTGTCCATAGTAAGAACCAGAACTGGCGAAAGAGTTGCTCAGGTCAGAGGAGAGTATCTGGTTGAGGACATTGAAAAAAGCTCTGGGTACGAACCAAACCGATGCCCAAAGTCTTCCCACGTCCCTGCACGAGAAATGTGGGTTGCGATGTGGGCTCGCTTGACACTGCGTCTCTCAGCCCCACCCAACCCAAAGGGTCCTAGATACTGATATGGGGGATGCTTCCCCACATCATAATAGTAATTCCTATTGTAGAAACCTAAATTCTACCGTATATAGGAACTTTGGACCCTGGGAGCAATACGTCACTGACTCTCGGCCTTTCACGCCAGTCGTGACAATCCTGCTCTCTCTAGTTAAACTCTAAGACTCTAAGGCTCTAAACCCAGCGAAAACCCCTATCCAACCCTACTTGGAGGATCATGGGACTTAGTAAGTAAGGTTATAAGTAAGTTATAATTAGGATAACCCCACTTAGGGGACTTGTAACCCCAATTATAACCTACTTACTAAGTCCCTTGATCCTCTAAGTAAACCCTAAACCTCCCAAGCTTCTACCCTGAAGAACCCCTGAGACCCTAAACCTTAAGGTTTACGCCCCACTGGCTTTGGGGCCTGCCTTAAAGGGAACTCCAGAAAGTTGGAATATGGATGAATGGCAGGATCCCCTATAATTTACCTTAAAGGGGTTACGATAAAGATATTCCAACTTTCTGGCTTCTACTGTAACCCCGAACAACCTGCCCTTCTGATGGAGGTCTATAGGGATGTCATATTAGGGAGCCCTAGAAAGGTAGCCTTTTGGATGGACGTCTATAAGGATATCATATTAGGGAGCCCTCGAAAGGTGGGAGTTTTCAGTTTTCGAAAATAGGGGACCCTAATATAGTACCCCAAATTGTAGGATCCTTATGATAAGGGCCCCTAAATAAGGTACCCCTAATTTCGGAAACTCCCAGGTAGGTTCTTCTATGTCCAGGGAGGCTTCAACCCTAAACCCTAAACCCCTAAAACATAAGCCCTAAACCCCTAAACCCTAAACCCCTAAACCCTAAAGGCCCTAAACCCTACACCCTAAACCCTAAACCCGAGATTTGGGGTGGGGCCCGGTCCTTGAACCAGAGTTCGGCTTCAGCATCCGTCTTCGGCGTAGGCCACATGTCCTTCTCGGCGTGCTTCGCAGCCTCAAAAGGCCCAAAAGGCTCACAAGCAGTTTTAGTTTGTGCGTTTTTCCGGGGTTTAGGGTTGAGGGTCCAAAGGGCTTTGTCGGGCTTATAGCGGGTTTACACGGCTTGATTATAGAGTTTGCGTGTTTTGCGTGGCGCTGCCGGGCAGTGATCTGTGCTCGCTGACGTTTTTTGATTGGGCCATCAGATGACCTCCTTCTGTTTGGCGGCCGATCCGTTGCTGTATGCACTTCGGCAGCAGAGAAGCTTGCAGTCCGCTCTCGAAGATTACCTGTTTCGGCAATGTGCTTTCCGTTATAGACAAACAAGTCACTCCACACTGCTGCGAAGTGTTGAACAGTAGTGAACTTTGCATTGCCAACAGCTCAAGCATGCGTGGAAGACTAAACGCCTTCCGTCTGAACCTTGCACGCCGAGGGAGGTGCCTATGGCGTCCCCAGTGATGGCTCCACTTGACGCAGAACTTGACCCCACGTGGCATGCAAATCAGGATTTATGGGGAATGCTTTGGAGACGGCGCTGGCTGTCTGTAGGGCATGAAAGGGATTTTACTTGGTCAAGTAATACCCAAACCTACGACATGCGTTCTGCAGACTTTGCGGCGGCATACGGCTTCGCTTTCTTGCTCTGGACATGACCGGTTAATTTTTTTCACGTGGGCATGTAGGGTGCTACTAAAGTTGAACGAGCATGACCACTTAGCTATGTAACTCTTCACGTGCCCGAAGCCGTGAATCCTGAACCCTTAAACCCCGAAACCCTCAACCCGAGGCCAAATAAATCCTGCAAGCCCGACCCGACTAAGCTGCATAAAGGAGCCCTTAAAAGAGCCCTTACAGGAACCCTCACAGGTCACCCTGATAGGAACCCCTAAGAGGCCATTAAGCTTTAAGTTAAGATTTAGGGTTTACTGTAGGGTTCCGGGTTTAGGGAGGAGGGCCTACTTCGGGTAAGATCTGGTATATGTATATGGGAACTTATATCAGTTTAAGCCCCTGGCCCCTAGACCCTAAACTGCAAACCCTTAAACCCTAAACACTACAGAACCCTAAATACCTCTCTAAACCCTGAACCCTAAACCCCTGAACCCTAAACCCCTAAACTCTAAACCCTGAACCCTAAACCCTCAACCCGAAACCCTAACCCCCCAAACCTTGAAGCCCTAAACCCTAAACCCTGAACCCGAAACCCTTACAGGGGCTGAGTACCCTAGCCCCCCCAAAAGGTGAACCTTTCAAAATATAGCGGGAGTACATAAGCCCCAAGGTTAAGGGCTACCTACTCAGCCTCTTAGACTTTACCCAAAATCCGAGTTTAGGAAGGAAGCCCTGCTCAGCTCCGGGCATTCTGGCCGTGCTTCACCAACGCCGCCTTTCGTCGGAGATTGTTGCGCTTCGATAAGGCCTATACCTAGAGGTTAATACCCTACCGAATTTGTTGGATCTCTAGTTTAATGGTGAGGATCTGTTGTATAGAAAAGTAGATACCCTGAGAAACGGCAGGGCATGAGCCTACAGGTAGGGTTTTGTCAGGGTCACTGAAGGTTTATGAGGATTTTGTGGTGTCGAGGTTCATTGAGGGTTCTACGAGGGCTCTACGAGCATGCTTTGAGGGTTTTAGGGTTCGGGGTTTGGGCGTATCGGTGTTCTTTTGGGCTTGACATGGAGACCCTCATGAAACGACTAAATGTTACTGGGGAGCCATGAGGAGAGGCACTACGGTTTAGGGTGTATAGGGTTTAGGGTCTACGAGTTACATATTCACCTTACCCCACCCCCCCCACCCAAACCCTAAATTCTACATCCCTACGCCCCTGCATCCTTCAGTTCCCGATCCCGTAAGCCCAAGAAAGCCGAAGTTCTACATCCGGTTGCCTAAACAGAAGGGCCTCAATTAGTGTGAAAGTGTTCTGGGGAGTTTGGGGGTATGTTACACTATGATACTACAAGGAACCCTCAGAAATAGCATTGGTATCTTACTGAAACCCTTCTGGACCATGCTTTGAGACTGGTGCCTTGCTGAAAGCTCAAGGAGGAACCTCATGGAGCCAAAGCGTCCGATGTACTATAGGGGCCTGAGTACCCATAGACCCCAAAGTATGTAGTTGCTTTGGGGAATGCCTTATAGGATTCCATATATGAACTCCCAAAAGGAACTACTTTGGGGCCTGAATAACTACAACTGCAATTTTTGTGTTTTTTTGGGGTCCTTATTGGACTTATACTATGATATGGTCCGAAATTGAATCCTAGAAGGATTCTATCGGGATGTGATACGGCCTTAGGCACTTATATGGCGGACACTTGCGTAAACCATCATCACAATTCCTCACATGGCAAGCCGGCTTTCTACTGTGTAGGTATGTAGGATGCTTCGGGGAGAGTGGTTTAGGAGTCAGGCTATCAGGTTTAGCATAGAAGCCGGGCCAAGATACCCCCTGGTTCTAAATAAAGCTCATGAGCCTTCAGTGCTTTCTGCACCGACGGAGTGGCCACAGCCGGGCCGCACATGAAGAAGTAGCCGCCCTGTCGGGATCCGAGTTGTAGCTGCGGTTTAGGGTTTAGGGTGCGAACATAGGGGCCTTACTACTTAGAGTTGGGATTGGGATTTGGGTAATATTCTGCATCAGCTCTAATAAGGCACCCACAAATAGTATTCTAGTTTGCCCAGTAGCCCTTCAATAAAAAGGATACCCTTTTTCCTACGGTTCGCCTTTCATAATGGAACCCATAAAGAAAGAGGGCTACAGGGTACTAGGAACTCAGTACTAGTATTGGTAACTATTAAACCCTAAACCCCGAATCCCCCAAAACCCTAAACCCTAACCCCTAAGCCCTACCTTAACCCCAAATATCCTACCTTTTCAAGGACTTATATAAAGAAATTATGTATTAGGGAACCATTCAAAAGGTAGAATCCTTAGGGCCCAGGTAAAACCCCTAAATTTCGGCCCCTCTACGAAGGTCTTATCGGACCAAGGGCCTCTTCTTCGCGGCTTCAACTTAGGGGTCTCAGTTTTACACTTAAACTACCCTGTGTTTAGGGTTTAGGGGTTTAGAGCTTTAGGGGTTTATAGGGTTTAGGGTTTAGGGGTTTCGGGGTTTAGGGTTTTTCGGTTTAGGGGTTTGGGGTATAACTCACTGTTTCTTATTTGTCAACCCTAGTAACTTAGTATGACACGTATAGAGACGCACCAAAACTCGCCTGGTTTCAGTAGTTAAAGTTAAGGGTTCAGGCTTGGCAGTCTCCGACAAGGCTTAGGGCATCAACCTGCACTCCCTGGAAGCTCTGCAAGCCTAAACCCTAAACTCTAAACTCAAACCCTAAACTTAAACCCTAAAACCCCTAAATCCCAAAGCGTGGTTGCTTCAATTACCGTACTGGTCCAGTATCCTAGGGAACTAAAGGTTTAACCTGTGGGATTAAGTAGGGGCCATACGGCAGGCTAACTACTCTACTATGAAGGCTACTGCCTTGGGCACCAACAAGCATCCCCGGACGGAGGTCCAAAATGATAACCCACTGCTGTGCGCAATGTCTAAGTCTAGGCTATCAGGCTTCAGCAGTCAGTCCTACTTGGAGGTTCATGGGTAGTTATAAGTAGGGTTATAGGTAGGGCAACTATACTTATAAGCCATATTCGAAGACTTATAACCCCACGTATAACTACCCATGAACCTCCAAGTAAATCGAGTCCGTTCTTTCATCCTAAGAGCTCTTCTCGGAGTGTTGACGGGATGTAAAACTCAGGGTTCCGAGGTTCAAGTAAGGCTTCCATCCTGATTACAAGGGTTCCAGAAACACTCTTAATGTATAATGATTCTATGGGCCTATGGGTGTTTCAAGACGTTTCTGTAAGTGTTCTAAAGCGTAACGGATTATGTTAGTTAGGAGGACTGACCTGCGACTCCAACTGCTCAATACGTTGAGGGGCTCAGACTCGAGAGCCATGCAGGGCCCCCAAAAAGCACATAAGCAGGATAGGGATATCCCAGATAAACCCCCTTACAATGAAGCCCAATAAGGTAGGGATATCCCGATACTATGCTTATGCTTACGTGCTTTTCGGGTCCCCAACCATGGGCTACCGTCTTGTAGCGGGTCGCAGGTATTTGAGCTCTTCGGACTACACGCTTTAAGGGCTTAGGGTGGTGGGTTGATGAATGCTTACAAAACGACGAAAGCAAGCATCATCAGAAAACATACGACCACGAGCTGTACCAGGGCCCAATAGCATCAACTGCCTCAACACTAAAGTAGTTGCACTGCGAGGCTTCAACATCTCTGGTTAAGATCTCTTAGCTAAGGCTCAGGACTGTTCCTGACATGCTAGCAATCTTGACAATCATCCCTTGAACTCGGACGCGGGAATCCTTGGGTTGGTGGGCCGCTCCATATGGGAGTTTCCGGATTTTAGGGGTACCTTATTTTGTGGTCCTGATAATGAGGATCCTACGTTTTAATTAGGGGGTCCCCCTATATTCGATAACATAGATCCCCATGCGCAGCAGAGCCTTTTCCAAGAGGTTGTCACTGATCAGCTCAGGTCGCTCGGCCATCTTATCCGAAACGAAGATCTGCTTCGGCGGGTAGTGGGGCTTGTCGAACCTGAGGCATCCAGCGCTACTGTAAGGCTCAGGGTTGGGGATTATGGAACGGCTTTTTAGGGCAGGAGGGCCAAGATTTTAAACACGTCTTACGATTTGCGGCACGAGGCTGAGCTGCATGATCGTCGTCTCATGGATTCTCAAAGAGTTGAGCACTGGGATTTTGGGTTTGGGGCTTTGGGGTCTAGGACTTCACTCTAATGAGTAAGGACGGGACGAGCTACAAGGGTCCTGAAGGGTTGGCAAGTTTTGATTGATTACAAGGCTTTGGCTTTAAGCAGGAGTTTGCGACAATAGGTTGCCCAAATGTTGGATCCTAAATCGTAGGATCCTTCTTATAAGGACCCCCGAAACAGGTACCCCGTTGGCTTTGAACAAGGGCTTTAACAAAGGCTTTGGAGGCGCCCCAGAGCGTTGAAGAGCCGGGGAACTCCCAAGAAGCCTTAACTACCGGGTCCAAATTCAGAAAACCCTCTTCGGTTTAGGGTTTAGGTGTGACACTTCAAGGTGTACTCCCGGCCGCAAAAGTTCGCACTGGGAGTGAGGGGTTTGACGTTTGAGGGTTCGGTCGAAGGCTTACCAGAAATGAATCTAGAGGCACACTCCACTCCGCTAATCGCACCCCCCAGTCGTCCATGGTAGTGTTCGGGGCTTTCGGGGCTCTAATGTAGGGGCCTTAGAGATTTGGACAGGCCTTTGGGGGCTTCTTATCATACTTATGGAATAATACACTCCAAGCCCTATTCAAATTGTTGAGGCCGCTACATTAGGCCAAAAGGGGGATGGTGGGTTCGGGCAGCCCTGGAACTCCGTCGACGAAATCTGAGGCAGGTGGCTGGAACGCGCCCACCAGTGCACTCAGAATGCCCTCCTTCTCGTACATCCTTAGTGGATACAGTGATACCTACACGGATTGAGATGCTTGTGCAGGTTGTAAGATATTGTGCAGCTGAAGAATTGTATACCGGAGGTGGAAGTGTTCACGGGTTCCAGAGTGCATGAAAGGGTGATACAATGCCTCAGGCTACAATACAATACTCTCATGAGGGAGAACTGTAAGTAAGCTCGTCACTAGAACGGAACATGATCTCTAGAAGGTACACTAGTCCCTTTACTGGCATTGCCGCGAGCGCCATTATTGCAGAGAGTGCTAGTTATTGTTCGGCGAGAGTACGACAACTGGTGTGGCGACAATGAGTCACCGATGATACGCTGTTGACGGTAGTGGCCAGGGTGATGATTGCGTGTACTGGCTTATGGCAAAAAGTAAGATGAAGGTTGTCGCAGATACTGTCGCTATCACGGTGACTACTCGTTCTCATATAAGTGTTTGCATCTCCTGCAGTTCGCATTGCTGACTCGGAAGTCTTGTTCCTCATGCGTAGCATCGAATGCTTCCTGGAAGCACGAGTCGCATGCTTTGTGAGTCTCGCTTAGTTATGTTGCACGTAATGCAACTGATCATATGCACAGAGTCGGACTGGTCCAACACATACATGTGACCCCAACTGCAAAGCAAATATGGCCTGAACTTCCCCTAACGTTGGAGACTCTCTCGCTCTCTCTCTCTCTCTCTCGCCCTCTTGCCCGTCTCTCTTTGTCGGTCTCCCAATGCGATTTCGTTGCCCTGAGCTCTACAACCCTGAACCCTGAAACGCTCTCTGGACCCGAAACTTCCCCCCCTTTCCCTGAATTCTACGGCCCCTGAATGGCACAAAGGCTGTAATTCCAAAGTTCCCTCAACCTATGTTCTACGGCACCCACACCCCAAAGCTGGAATCCCAAATTCCCGGAAACCCTCAACCCTAAACCCCTAAACCACAAACCCTTAGAACGCTCAACCCCAAACCATAAACCCCTGATTAGACTCTATAACCCTAAATTCCCGAACCCTGATTTAAAACACAAGCGATTTCCTCCCGTCCAGCAGCTTCCACTCGTCCTTGTAGAGGAGCTCCTCCTTCGGTATTACAGGGATTTAGAGGGGGCTCAGGGTTAGTGCGTATAGCAAGGATGTATGCGGCTTGGGGTTGATTCCTTTAGCGTGTCGGGTTTTAGGTTTCAGGCTTTGAGTTTAGGCAGGGTTGGGTTTCTCGGGGCAGAGTGGAACACAGACACGTCCAGAACCAAGATTTGGATAGGAGTGCAAAGGCCCGAATCGGGCAAAGGGAGGGCTGGGTTTGTGAAATTGAAATGGAGACAGGCATGACAAGAGCAACTATACGATATGCGTGTGTGTGTGTGTGTGTCTATCTATCTATCCATTGACGGATCGATCTATTGATGGGTGTTACAGCACGTACACACATACACAGGGGCTTGACGGCACAACCCAGGACCTTGGGGGGGCAGAGCTCGGGTCTTATTAACATCCGGTTTCGGATATGGACATACTAGCTTGCCGTGCCTTCTCATGCCGGCAGCCGTAGAAGACCACCATGGGTCCCGTCTTGATGCCGCGGCTCTTCTTGTAGAGCTTGTCCTGCAAGTCCAGAGACTTCAATATCTTTCGAAGCAGGGCCCTTTCCTAACAAACACTAGTCACTAGCCAAGCCGCTCCCGCTTCTGTTAACAGATATACCTTAAGTGTCGATTTCGGAGTCTCCGGGAATCATGTTTCGCAACCCTCATGAACCACATTTTCATCGAATGCTTACAGATCAAATGAAACTTCAAGCACCCGGCTCAGTCGTTGTTTTTGCTGAAGGGCCAAATTTGGCTCAGGACAGTCTAGGACTCTAGGAGTCTAGGTGTTGGGCACTGGATTTAGGTTCCAGGGATTAGGATGTAGGGGGCAGTGTGGGGTCTGAAACTTATAGAGAGGTTTACGATTGGGCGGAGGGGTCCAAGAGAATGTCTGCAAATCTAAGGTTGCAATTTAGCAAACACATCTGCACCTGACGCTTGAACCAGTCTGCCTGTGCTCTACACCCGTAACGATGACGATCACGTCGAGACGATGGCCAGCAGTTGCGCCGGTAGTGTGGCAAATATCACTCTCAAAGTGCTTAATCGGCCAGTTGAGGATTACGGACTTAAGGGCTTGGCGCAGTCTACCGTTTAAATGCAGGCTAGCCGTCCAAGGAACTGGGCGCTTGGTGCGTCGTAGGAGTGGCTACTCGGAGGTTTCCTGTCCCCTAGCCAAAGCTGTGGGAATGTCTGTGTTTGGGGTTTACAGTCACAATCTTGCATGCAGTGGCACGCAATGAAGCGCTTCATCAGAAGACTGCTCGTCTTCGACTAAACCACCTAGCCGCCGGCACAGAAATGAACACATCTCCAATCCCAAATGCAACGCCCAAGATCCAAATCCCAATCTGAATCCTGAAGTTTCCATACCTTTACAGCTCCCGGCAGAAGACTGGTCATGGAAAGCCCAGGCCATGTTCTCCAGACCTGCAACTGTAACTATGACTCCGTGGCTGCCATCTGAGCTCCGACATGGCAGATGACACGTGTGAGGTCGCACGGAGGCAGCCGGTTTAGGATTCAGGGTTATAGGGGTTTAGGGTTTTGGGGTTTAGGGTTTAGGGCATGATCGGCATCCCAGTTCGTCGTCTTCCAGAAGAACACCCGAGAAGGGCAGGCTTCCCTCGCCTCCTCGCTTTCCTCTCCGATACAGAGAGAAAGAACGACATCCACGTCTGAAGAACTACAGCCAACATGGGCCAGGCCGTTCGCAACTGCCCGGGCTTTGGCTGCAACCAGGAGGAGGAGGAGGAGGAGGCTGGAAACGATGGCTCTTCCAGGACACCGTCGGCGTTGAATGGGGCTTACAGGCTGGACGGCGCAAGAGTCTTCTAACGCTCTTACAGGCACCTCACTTAGTTCCGGGCGGCATGCCTGGGACTTGTACAAATCATACACAGCATCGAAGAGGTCGTCCGCCAAGGATTGATTTTGGAGCTCGAATACATCCTCCAACCACCTAAAACACCAGCCTCCTAGCCCAAACCCACTGTTCCCTGTTGCACAAAGGGGTCCTGCATGAAGGAGCGAATGGGCGCCTCGGCAGAGAGCTACACCAAACCCAAACCTAACTCCCAATCCAAAGATTCGCTCAGCCCTAGTGCCTTGCATGGGCAAGGATGTAATTTGAGAGTTTCACTGTTTGGGGGGGGGGGGCATCGGCTTGATCCCCCCCGCGAAATCATGACTGATACGCTTACCCACTTTGTGGGGTTCATACATAGAATCCTATAAGGTAATCCCCAAAAGGAGCTACTTTGGGTGTCATAGAATCCTACAAGGTAGTCCTATTCAGGAGCTACTTTGGGCCGTTCATTTATAGAATCCTAGAAGGTAATCCACAAAAAGGAACTACTTTGGGCCTGGGAGTAATTAGCACCTCTTTGGTGTTCATAGATAGAACCCTATAAGTGAATCTCAAAAAGGAACTAGTTTGGGCCTAGGGGTAGCACGACGTCCATCAGACCTTGCCCGGGTACGGGGTGCGAAGAGAAGTAGCCTCGTGCGAGACCCTCGGAGCTCAGGTACACTTGCAACCGATAGGTTACCATAAATAAGATGTGCATATATATATATATATATATATGGTATCCCCCCCCATGGATCTACCCTTTTCGTGTGTTTGGAGCCACATCACACGAAAATGGAAGATCTTTGAGGGGAGGGCCTACCCGATGAACCGTTTTGTGGTTGGGTGAACTCCACCCTGGCCCAATTGAGTTCAATCGGGCCGATTGAACTCCATCGCCCCCCCCCCCCCCGATTGAGTTCAATCGGGGCCGATTGAGTTGAATCGGGCGCCGGATTGAAGATTGAAGATTCCCTCGAAAACTTTGCCGGGGAATCTTCAATCTTCAATCTTCAATGGCCGATTGAGTTGAATCGGGCGCCGGATTGAAGATTGAAGATTGAAGATTCCCTCGAAGACTTTGCCGGGGAATCTTCAATCTTCAATCCGGCCCCCGATTGAGTTCAATCGGGGCCGATTGAATTGAATCGGGCGCCGGATTGAAGATTGAAGATTCCGTCGAAAACTTTGCCGCGAAATCTTCAATCTTCAATCTTCAATCCGGACCCCGATTGAGTTCAATCGGGGCCGATTGAGTTCAATCGGGGCCGCTTGAGTGCAATCGTGGTTCATCCCAAGTGGGCAAATTATTCTATGAGGCATTGTATGGTGCATTCCAAGGTATTCTACAAGGTATTGCAAAGGGTTTTCTTTTCTGCTTTCTATGCGGTACTCACAGGGTAACCGGGTATCAGACGCAGGGGGTATTCTGTAAGGTAGTCTCAAGGGTATCGCAAATGGTATCTATAAGGCCTATACAGGGCATACTATAGCGTATTTCTTGTGGGTATTATATAGGGAACTCCTTAAGGCGTTGTGTAAAGGATGGTGCAAGGGGCATAAGCATAAACGCAAAAGTTGTATTATAGAAAGTATTCTGTAACGTATTGTATAGCCTGTAGGGTATTCAACAAGGTTCATTAAAAGGTATATAGGGGGTTTTCTATAATCTAGGTTAAAGAAGGAGTACCTTGTAAGGTATTCTATAGGCTGTTGTTTTTGATTTCCTCATTGGGCACACAACAGGTAAATTACAGAGCATTCCGCTACTGATTTTCCTACATTAATCCGTTACCTACAAAATGTTCTACAAGCTACAAGGCATTTTATGGTGCATTCTACGGGTATCTTGTAGAATATTCCATAGGGTGTTCTTTAGGACTTCCTATGCTATGGGGTACTCAGAGGGTATCATAGACGGGGGGTCTTATGTAAGCTAGTCTGTAGGGTACTGCAGATACCCATGGGGGTAAACAGTTTAAACTTTCACAATAGGACTACCTTGTACGGGGCCAAAAGTTGAAAAGTTGGGTTTTTGCGAGCCACTAAGAACTAAATGGGTTCAGGGTGTATATACTGCATACAAGGACTCTCATATACAAGGCCATAGGGGCGTTCTATAAGGTCTTCTACAGAGTACTCCAGATGTCCTCCATGAGGCTCACGATATATAGAGGGTTCTATGTGTTCCATAAGGTATTTTGTAGAGTACTCTACGTGGTATTCTGTAAGGTACTCTAGGTATTCTATGGATATACGGGCTATACCTGAAAGTATATGATAAGATATTCTAGAGGCTCTAGGGTATCCAATAAGGCATGAGGATAGTCTATATCAGCGTATTCTATATGAAGTTTTTAGGATACATAGAGCTAGAAGGTATTCTTCATAGTGTCTTGTATAGAGTGTCCTATAGGGTATATGTAACAAGGCATGCGGGGTGTATCACATATGTGTGGTCTTGTATAAGAGATCCGACAGGATATTCCAGATGGATGTCGATAAGATGTATAGTATAGGTTGTGATAGTGGGAATTTGCAGAGTATTCGAAAACGTATTCTAAAGGGTATTATATAGGTCAAATACAAGGTATTGCACCCTGGAAATATCGATACATTTCGTGTTCACGGATCTTGTATGTGGGAGGTGTAGAAATAGGGTCTTGTTTTCATAGCTATACCTGTCGTCATGCTATGTTATATGAGATGACATATATCTGATCTCCTGTTGCGTGTTACCTTCAGAGCCCATACTGTTGCATGCAAAACCTATACACACACTGAACCAACATGCAAGCTCGCGTTCTTTTTCAACACAGAAGAAACCGTACGCGAATGCATGTCGTGTGGAAAAAGTCAGGGCTGTATATGAAGGAAATGCAGAATCTAATCCTTGATCAAATCGAAGCTTATTTAGTGAAGAGTTTATAAAGAGAGTTGAATACGTTATAGACTATCCACTATTTCGCATCCGGCTCTCCAACACACGAAAACGGTAGATCCATGAGGGGGGGGGGGTAGCTATGGTATCCCCCCCCCCATGGATCTACCCTTTTTCGTGTGTTTGAGAGCCACATCACACGAAACACGAAAACGGTAGATCCATGAGGGGGGGGGTAGCGCTATGGTATCCCCCCCCCCATGGATCTACCCTTTTTCGTGTGTTTGAGAGCCACATCACACGAAACACGAAAACGGTAGATCCATGAGGGGGGGGGTAGCATATATATATATATATGGGTGGTTGTCAAAATTATGGTCCCTTTTTGGGTACCTTAAATACTAAGTGCCGTATTATAATAAGGACCCCAAAAAAGGGACCCTAATTTTGACAACCACCCATATATTGCTTCATACTCATATATATGTACACCCTCCTAAGCTCTGAATCCCAGAGGCAGAGATGTGAGCTCCGAGGCGAGACGGGAGTTTCCAAAAAATAGGGGACCCTACTTGGAGGGTCGGGGGACTTAGTAAGTAGGTAGTAAGTAGACTTATAAGTACCCTAAAAGGGACCCTAATTGGGGTTATGGTACTTATAAGCCTAAAATAAAAAATTACTAAGTCCCCCGACCCTCCAAGTACCTATAGTCTCCATTGTAGTTCCTTTTTGGGGTTACCAA